CAGATACTAGATATAAGACTTAATAGGTTCGATAAAGAGCTAAGTCTATCTACGTAAATCCGAATAGTTTTGTGCAGTGCGCTAAGCGCTAAGCAGTAGGTTAGAGTCGCGCAGGCCGAATGCCTAAGGCTAGCGCTTTCTACCTAGGGCGTAGCCCTTTATAGGTTGTAGAGTAGTCTAAAAGGAACCTCCTTGCCCTCTATAATGTTAATCTTACAATCCGTCTCTTTAAACATAGGCAATGTCGATACTAGGTAGTATTTAAACATATTAATATAGGTCTCTCGGATAGGCTCTAGTATACGAGCAAGCTAATTAGGATTATTAGGGGGTACAGGTTTATCGTTATTACTACCGAGCAAATCGGTAGTCGGATTAGCTAAGGCGGAGGCTAGTATTAGGTTGCTAACAAACAGGACCCTAATATCGTTAGGGCACTCGCTAACATTAATGTATTTAATATCCTCTTTCCTAGCGATTCTAAATCGCTACTTCTAGAGGCCTAGGTCTATAGCTATAGCGTAGTACTTAAGAATAGGGTTGCTAATAATAATAGTAGCTCCTCTATATAGGTTGTCTATATCTACTGCGTAGGTAGTAAAGTCTAGTAGGCGTTTATTTCCGAGGTCGTCCTTTAGAACTATAGGAACATAGTAGGCCCTATAGGTTAAATGCCGAGCGTTATTAAACTAAGCAAGGGTTAGCAGGTTAGTCTTCGGCAGTTGTCGAAGGTCTAATTGCTTAGCTAGGCAATAGCTAATAAGGGCACTAACTAAATTTCCTAGATCTAGCATAACCTTAGTTTAATAGGTAGTACCCTTCGTATCCTATATAAGGTAGGAGCGTATTATAGCTAGTACAATGTCGATAGTCTTACGCCGTACGAGGCTAATAGTTAGTGCGGCGCTTACTCTTTTTTCGAAGGTTAGCCTATAGGGGTAGCGTTAGCCGCTAAGAGGTGCTTTCGGTATTTAGCGGAAGTACGGTTAATTCGGGCCTAGTCCTTAGGTTTGTCGCATTAGCCTAGTAGATAGCTAGTACTATTACAATTAAAGCACTTCAATCCGGTTAGTAGACTGCCGTAGCTGTTGTTATTGTTAGTAGAGCGGTTAGCATTATAGGGATACGAGCCCCTTCTACGGCCCCTATCGCGGCCTCCTCTATATAGCCGCTAGCTACGGCCTCTTCCGCGATCGTTACTGTTCCTATTATTAGTATTATTGCCCTAGTAGGAACCTTAGTTCCCTCCGCGGCTACAGTTGCTACGGTTAGTACTAGCTAGTCGGATCCTCGATTCTAGTCGTTATTAGAGCTAAACAGCCCGTTCGGCTGTTTCTGCTTCGACTATAAATTAAATGTGTATTAGATTGGCTTGTTCGAATATACGGCGACGGTCTAATTCGAGGATAAGCTCCTATCTAAGTTTTAGGCGTATCTCGGAGATCTGTATAGAATTAGTCTTAGGCGGAAGGTCGTCTTTAAGGGTTTTTAAATAGGCCTCGAATAAGCGAGCCGATTGATTAGTCTTCTACTTAGCTCGGAGATACAGGTCCTAAGTATATTATTGCCTTAGTATAGGGTTTCTAAGGGTGTCTAGTATAATAGTCTTGTAGGTTTGCTACTAAACAGCGGTCTAATTAGTAAGGGAGTTAAAGTAGTTATCCTAGGTACGTTTTAGGTCGCTATTAATGTATTATATAGCGTAGACGACTAATAAGTAGTTATCTAGTAGCGCTCTTAGTGCATTGCGCTAGTTAAGCTCGCAGTTACGAATGTAATTATTGTATTGCTTCCGACTAGAGCTATTAAACACGGTATAGTCCTTAAGTTTAGCATCCTTCTTTTAGACTAAAACGGGTAGTAAAGAAGGCCCTACTGTTAGTTTAGTAGTAGTAGGGTCTTCCTAAAGGCGGCGAAGCTCGAGGAGGTTATCCTTTAGCTATTATTCTTAACGTAGGGCAGTAAGCCTGTTTTGAGTAGCTTCTTAAAGTCTCCCTAATAGTTAAGGGCTAAAGGCTAGTTAGCTATATCGTCGATTGACAATGTTATTAAGAATGTCGTTAATAGGCAACTCTAGGTCGTTACCTAGAATTATAGGTTCTTCGGTAGGCCTAGTAGTAGGCTCTTTAGCAGGTACTCTAGTAGGTACCTTAGTAGGCACTTTAGTAGGTACTATGCTACTAGCATTGTCGTTGCTAGCGCTGCTAGCGGCAGCACGGTTGTTGTTTCGTAATAAGCCGGCTATTATAATAGGGGGTAACACTAATAATATATTATTAGCCCCTAAGATACGGATATAGCGGAATTAGTAGATATTAGTCTAGTACGATTAACTTAGTATAGTAGGCCGTATAGAAGGCCTTGCTTAACAATTAGTACGGTTGTTTCGATAGAATAGTACGTATAGGCCCTGTTCTTCGGGCGCAATATAGTTAGATTAGTCTTGTTCGTAGCTATACCGCTAAAAGCTTGAAATAAGAACTATCTAGCTACTACCCTTAAAGGGTAGATCGAATACTATATAAGAAGGGTATATTAGTAGGTAGATAGGGTAGTAGTAGGTATAGGTAGTATTCGATAGAGATCTAAGAGGAGAGGGAGGAAGGTAGGCTAGTTAGCCTAACGCTAAGCGCTAAGCCCTACCTAAGGCATTAAGACCCTAGCTTTACTCGAGCCTAGTTATATACTAATTACGTATAACCTCTTTAGTCCTAACAAGATAGGTCGATTAGTAGAGGTCGGTTAACGGTTCGACTAATAGTTCGATTTATAGTTTGATTAATAGTTTGATTAATAGTTTGATTAATAGTTTAATTAATAGTTTAATTAATAGTTTAATTAATAGTTTGATTAATAGTTTGATTAATAGTTTGATTAATAGTTTGATTAATAGTTTAATTAGTAGTTTAAATAGAAGTTAGATTACTAATAATAGTTTAATTCAAAACGTAATTAGTAGTTTAATTAATAGTCTAATTAATAGTTTAACTAACTGTTTGATTAGTAGTTTAATTAGTAGTTTGATTAATAGTTTAATTAGTAGTTCGACTAGTAGTTTTAGTTTAACAGAAACTTTAATTAGTATTATAGTAGTAGCTAGTCCCCCGATAAATTATATAGTTTAAAGTATATAATACTAAACTACTAGCTTCTAAATAGAGATAGGTCGATTAGTAAGTTAATTAGTAGGTCGATTAATAGTTCGATTAATAGTTCGATTAATAGTTCGATTAATAGTTCGATTAATAGTTCGATTAATAGTTCGATTAATAGTTCCGAGTCGATTAATAGTTCGATTAATAGTTCGATTAGTAGTTTAATTTGTAGTCTTATTAGTAGTTCGATTTGTAGTCTTATTAGTAGTTCGATTCGTAGTTTAAGTACTAGTAATAGTTTAATTTAAAATTGAATTAGTAGTTTAATTAGTAGTTTTATTAGTAGTTTAACTAGTAGTTTTATTAGTATTTTAACTAGCAATTTAATTAGCAGTTTCATTAACTATTTAATTAATAGTTTAATTAGTAGTTCGATTACTAGTTTCAGTCTAATAGAAGTTTTAACTAGTATTTTATTAGTAGTTAGTCCCCTAATAAATTATATAATTTAAAGTATATAGTACTAAATTACTAATATCTAAATAGAGATAGGTCGATTAGTAGGTCGATTAGTAGATCGATTAGCAGTTCGATTAGTAGTTTAGCTAGCAGTTTAATTAGTAGTTTGATTGCTAGTAACGGTTAATTTAAAATTTCGTTAGTAGTTTAATTAGTAGTTTAACTAGTAGCTTAACTAGTAGTTTAATTAGTCGTTTTATTAGTAATTTTATAAATAGCTTAATTAACTATTTAATTAATAGTTTAATTAGCAGTTCGATTACTAGTTTTAGTTTAACAAAAATTTTAATTAGTATTTTATTAGTAGTTTCTTTAATAGTTTTATTAGTAGTTTTATTAATAGTTTTATTAGTAGTTTTGTTAATAGCATTGTTTCTAGTTTAGTTAGTAGTCTTAGTACTTTAATTAGTAGTCCTATTTATAGGTTAGCTTATAGTCTTAGTAGTTTTAATTAGTAGTCTTATTAACAGTTTTATTAGCAGTTTTATTAATAGTCCTATTAGTAGTTTTACTAACTATTTTACTATTAGTGCTATTTGAGTTATTAGTTTTATTATTAGTTTTATTATTAGTTCTTTTATTAGGTTCACTAATAGTTTAGCTAATAGTTTATCTAATAGTCTATCTAACAGTTTACCTAATAGTTTAATTAATAGGTTTGTTAATAGTTTTCTTAATACCTAGTCCTACTAGTAGCTGCCTACTAGTAGCCCTACTAATAGTCTAATAGTCTAAAGTTACTAGTAGCTCTATAGCCTCTACTAATAGCTTTATTAAAATTAATAGTACTATTAGTAGTCTTACTAATATTTTCGCTACGGGGACCTTTATACTAGTCGATAGGCTTCGTATTTAGTAGAATATAGCTATATCTAGGTCTTTAGTCTACGTTAAGCTCCTACTAAATTTTTATTAGCGTTTTACGCTTATATCCGGGTTTCGTTAAGCGCTTTCGATTTACGTTCTATGCTAAAATCCGGGATAAGTTAAACTTCCCTTTAATTTTTAATTAAATATTACTTCTACTAAAATTCTTAGCTAATTATTTCGGTCTTAGCGGACAACTTAGATTTTCGCAGGCGGTAGGCGCGGTATCTAGATTAGTAGCTACGGTACTAATTATTTCGGTAGTAGCGGACAACTTAGATTTTAATACTAGCTAATACTAGCTAATAGTCCGAGCTAATACTAGCTAACACTAGCTAATAGTCCGAGCTAATACTAGCTAACACTAGCTAATACTAGCTAATACTAGCTAGCTAACACTAGCTAATACCTACGCTAAAATCCGGGGCAAGTCAAATTTCCCTTTAATATTTGTTTCGATTGACGTTCTACGCTGAAATCCGGGGTAAGTCAAATTTCCCTTCAATCTTTGATTGAATATTACTTCTGCGAAATTTCTCAGCCAATCATTTCGGTCTTAGCGGACAACTTGGATTTTCGCGGGCGGTGGCCGCGGTGTCTAGATTGGCAGCTGCGCTGCCAATAATTTTCTTTCGCAGGCCGTCGATGGAATTTCTTGTCGAAGTCAAAGTAGATCTCGGCTCACAGCAAGCAGGGTCCGCGCACTAGCAAGGAAATAACGGGCCGAAGCGAAGTCTCAACGCGGAAGGTACCACAATCCTTACCTTAATCGAAAGTTGCTGCTGTCGGCGATCCTATGCCACCTCTCTCCCTCCGCACACCGAACTGTGCAAATACGACATTAGCAGTTGAAAATCATTTTTGACCTCGTCTCACCCTTTCTCCGCCGCTTCTCTGTGATCAAGCCAAGTATTGGTACATCTACAAGCATTGCGGAGGAAATCTATGCGGCGAGTTCAATATGGCATCAACAGCGGACCCGGCGAAGAACACAAATACCGTAGAAGCGGCCGACGAGACCACACCTCTTCTTGGGGCTCCAGAATCAGCAGTGGACAGCCATGGCACCAATAATGGCGAATTTCCAACCAAAGGAACCTCGGAGACCGACAACGAAGAGGAACGCATGCCATATGCTCAGATATTCCTGTTATGCTACGCTTCCATAGCCGAACCTGTGGCCTACTTTGGAATCTTTCCTTTCATCAATGAAATGATCGAGAGGAATGGCCATCTGGACGAGGAGAACGTGGGCTTCTGGAGTGGCATGATAGAGTCACTTTTCTCCCTAGTGCAGATGGTGCTCATGATCTTCTACGGACGGCTTGCGGACCGGCTTGGGCGCAAACCGATCTTGGTCTGGTCACTTGCTGGTGTCAGTGTAACAACAGCTCTTTTTGGCCTGAGTAGGACTCTGTGGCAAATGATTCTACTGCGATGTCTTGCTGGCACATTTGCAGGGTCTGTTGTCACCATGCGCACCATGATCAGCGAGAACACCACGAAGGCTAGTCAAGGCCGTGCGTTTTCCTGGTACATGTTTGCCAGAAACCTTGGAATCTTCATTGGACCTCTCATAGGCGGCGGTCTGGCTGATCCTGCGGAGCAATTTCCAAATTTTTTTGGCGATGTCCAGTTCTTCATTGACTATCCGTACGCCTTGTCTACATTTTGCGCCGGTGCTATCTGCTTGACTGGCACTATGACGAGTCTACTGTTCATCAAGGAGACTCTCAAACGCAAAGATTTCGCTTCTGGACAACCTGAGCCTCCGATGTCCACATGGGCGATTCTGAACTCTCCTGGAGTACCCATCATTCTATACACCTTTGGTCACGTCATGCTACTCGGACTTGCATACACTGCCGTTGCACCTGTTTTCCAATTCACGTCGGTTGAGAAGGGCGGCTTTGCCTTTCCCCCTTACCTCATCTCGTACTTCATTGCAATAGGTGGTGCATCGCAAGCTCTATGGATGATACTGGCTTTTCCCGGTCTGCAGAGACGATTTGGTACTGGGTCCGTTCTGAGGGGAACCGCTGCTGCATGGCCATTTTTCATGGGATTGTATCCGATTCTGAATGAATTTCTCCGAAATGGCTGGAATGCGGCTTTCTGGATTGTTTCAATCACTGGCGTCGTCCTAGGCTCTGGAGTAGCGATGGGATTTACATGTGTGCAGCTCTGCCTCAATGACATCGCGCCCTCGCATACTGTCCTTGCTACCCTGAACGCTTTGGCACTCACCGTGAACTCTGGGATCAGAGCGGTTGCCCCGGCTCTCTTCACCAGCATTTATGCCTTTGGCGTGAAGATCCAGTGGGCCGACGGGCATCTGTGCTGGTTCATTCTGATTGCGCTTGCCGCAGCTCTGAACATTCCTTTGCGCTTTCTACCCGAAGCTGCTGAAGGACGACCAGACCAGCAGAAAGCAGACAAAAAGTCAACTAGTGCGACGGAAGACCAAGAGACAACACCTGGGATTCGAAACACTTGAGGCTGCGGTCTCTCAAATTCACCTTTTCGCGGGCTTGCCAGACCCTTATGATTGGTCCGCAATTCTGTGCATTGATGTCTCATCCGGACCATGCCTGCGCCCGAGCGCAAAGACACCCAAGAAGCCCCGGTATGTCATGTAAAGCTTTCGAGAGGTGGTTAGGAAGTGAAACCACACCTCCGCCTCGGCCACACTTCTGCACTGGATACTCATGTTCCACAACATGCTGACGGGCTTGACATGTTCGACTCTGACTGAATCAAGATATCGTCAAGAAACATGATGAGCCTTTTCGGGGTCTCGGCCGGCAACAATCGCGAAAGTCTGCCGACGTGCCATGAACAGCCATTCACAATGCTCACCGTTTGGTCGGCGCGCTTGCTATTGGAGCCAGATGCCCAGATTCACCACCAGCGCCGGCACGTCTCAAACGTGCTTCATCATGGTCTTGTTGCCCCAATCGAGGCTCGGCCTCGTAGCAGTCTGCGTCGCAGGCGGCGTTTGGCCAGTTGGTGTCGCAATCTTTGGCATAGAACCCCCTCTATGGCTGTTGTTTGCACTGTCGGATCTTGATTCGAGGCGAGCGGAGTCTCGTTTGGGGGCTGAGGTGTTGTTGTGGGAGTATTAGTTTCCACTGGTGTAGTCGCTGTCGGCTGGTTTCCATTAACTTCTCCTAGTCGTACACCGCTCAGTGCGCCTCCAAAAATGTTCGCCATCCTGATGTCATTCGGGCCTAAGACATGAGGGCAGATGGATCTATATAGTTCTCGTGATATATTGCTGTAGACTCCTACGTTTGCGCCAGTCTCTAGCTTGAAGATATTCTGACTCCAACGGCCGATGTCCTGGACGAGTCAAGAGAGCATTTGGTAGTGATATCGCAGCAACGTTGGACTTATGAAGTTCTGTTCTTCTCTTGTGACGTGGTTTCGCATGCGCCAGGAGCATAGGGGTTGGAATGATTAACGTGGACCGGAGATGGTGAATGTAGTGGAGTCCGTGCACAGACCAACGCTGATACCAAGAGTGTCTCCCTCTCGTGGCTCTGGGACGGTGACCTATGCCTTCCAGGCATTCATGAAGGTAAGCACGGTCCGCACGTAACTTCCACAGTGTCCCGGCATATTTCCCCACCAGACGTGATTAGCATCGAGAAACGCAGCTTCCATGGGAACAGATAGGGCAAGTACTTCCAGATCTGGCGCAAAGCTTGACGCGGCGCTGTATATCCTGCATGGGCGGGTTCGCTCACGCAGTTTTGAAAGAATTGCTGCATTATCTTGTCCACGCCGTCGTTTATCCAGCAGTAGTAGGAGGTCTTGCTGGAAAGATGCTGCGTCGGCTCTCCGAGAGAAGCATCGTAGTATGTGATGAACGTCATTGCTCCACCAACCGTGCCACGGTGCATGTGCCACTAAACGACACCAATTGAAAGGCGTACGGGATCAGGTGCGAGCAGTCCAGATTGGTAATTGAGGGGGCTGCATCACCTGAACTCGTCCAGTGGCGTGCAGATTGGACGCTTGCGTTCGAGCACTACTGTATTGCCTTCTGATAGCTTGATACGCCTGCACGTTGCCCCGTCACTGTCGCTATTCCTGTTCCTGGAGCTGACGCGTTGCTCCCTTGGCGTGTAGAAATGCAGCATTTGCCATTGCCGTGCACTGAAGAAGGTTTCTCAGCTGGTGGGAGTGGTCGCATCCTGTCGCCGGTCGCCGATGAAGTGTGGGAGAGGGAGAGGGCCGACTTTCGTTGAATGTTCGGCTTCATGCAGAGGGCGGAGAACAGGGGTGGCATTGGTCATCGTGCGGCTGCGACGTCCTTGTCCGTCTGAAGGCATAGGTAAGCTTTTTCTCGCGTGTGCAGTTGAGTTCACAGCTAATACATAGTTGAGGCACAGCGGCTAACGTTACTGCCCGACTCTGGAGACTTGGCAAGCACGATACAGGCGTGCAGTGTACATGTTATCATGGTGCCATAGCAGCAGCAGCGGCAGCATACGTGTACATGTCCCTCACCCTCCGTTCGTCGCCCAATAATAATGTGCACAGGGAGCACTGTTCCTGGAGGCCTTGCCTTGCCGTGAATCAATCGCTCCGAAGAATTGTGGGGATCCTTCCGCTTGAGGTTCGACTCCATCCTACCTGCTAGCGCGCTGCCGCAATCTTGCAATCGCAGCCGCTCTTCTTCTTCGCAGCCGCCAGGACTTGCAGAAGGCGGAGCGGAGCGGAACGGCGACGGCGACGGCGACGGCGACTGCGACGACACCACTTCTCCGCACTCACACCATCCTCTCCCCACCCCTATCGCCCTCTCCCTCCCCCGCCGTCGCTACCGGATCTGGTGCTGGATGCTCGCGCAAACCGCCGTGCTGATAGCGCTCAATGAGGAGACGTCCTTCCGGCTCGGGAGAAGATGAGGACAGCTGCAAGTCCGCACCGACCAGTGCTCCCAGCGACAAGGGCGACAAGGGCCGCGACAGAGAGCGAGAGATGACCACGCGGGAACATGGCCGCGCGACAAGGCAATCTGCGCGCCAGCAGAAGCGCGAGCCGCAGCAGGCTGGCGCCGACTTGAAAGTAATGCCAGTGTCGAGATCAGAACAGAAGGCGGCATGGTCGCGCACCACACCGATATCGAGTCCTGCCCTGGAAGCAGACCCGCAATCAGATTCGACATTGGCCCCTAGCCGGCCAGACGCCATGTCCGACCAACTGCACAAACTGGCGCGACTGAGAAGTCCATGGCGATGTTCATTTCTCACCCTCGCCACGAGCATAAGCGCGATAGTCATTCTGCTGACTGTCATCCACTCCTTCCTGAACCGACAGCAAGACCCGAAAGGATGCGCCATGTCATACATGCGACCGCGCTTCGACCCTTTCCCCGATTTCGACACAGAACACACTCGTTTTGCAAGCAAATACTCCCTCTACCTATATCGCGAGGGAGGCATAGATAATGGTAGCAAAGTCAGAGGCATACCCGTACTCTTCATACCTGGAAATGCCGGGAGTTACAAGCAAGTGCGGCCGATTGCTGCCGAAGCAGCAACGTACTTCCATGATGCACTTCGAGAAGATATGGCCAGTATCCGTGATGGCAAGCGGCCATTGGACTTCTTCACTGTCGATTTCAACGAAGAGCTCATAGCTTTCCACGGCCAGACTCTGCTTGATCAAGCAGAGTATTTGAATGAGGCTGTGGCATATATCCTAGCCCTCTATCACAACCCTCACCGCTCAGCACGAGACCCAGGATTACCGGATCCCAAATCTGTTATCATACTAGGACACTCGATGGGTGGTGTGGTTGCGAGGACGATGTTGAGAATGTCGAACTACCAAGAGCATACTATCAATACCATACTTACTTTGTCGGCACCTCACGCCAGACCACCGATCTCGTTCGATGCGGCAATGGTCTCGACATATCATGATATCAACACATACTGGAGGGAATCATTTTCAGGCTCGGCAGCAGGGCGGAATCCGTTGGATGATGTCACACTGGTTTCTGTCGCTGGAGGCGGCTTGGACACCATGATTCCGTCTGAGTACACCAGCCTGACATCGCTTGTGCCCGACACACATGGTTTCACTGTGTTCACGTCTAGCATACCTAATGTCTGGACTGGAATGGACCACTTGGCCATCATGTGGTGCGACCAATTCCGCAAGGCCCTGATCAAGGCTATTTACGATGTGATCGATGTTCGTCGTCCTTCTCAAACACGAAGCCAACCGGAGAGAATACGCGCGTTGCGAAAAAGGCTATTGACAGGCATGGAGCCTGTTGTGGAGAGGGGTCTTTTGGAGCAGGAGCCCACAACTTATTTGACGCTCGAACACAGCTCCACAGGAATCATGTCGCACGGACAGCGTCTCGTGCTGCGATCACTCGGCGACACCGGTGCAACGAAAGCTCATGTGATGCCCATTCCTGCACAGCCATTCACAGAGGGCAGCAAATTCACGCTGCTCACCGATCAAACCTTGGATTCGGAGGAAGATGACGGCACGCTCTCGGTATTGCTCTGCAGCGTCTTCCCACCTCCTTCGGCATTTCCCGTCTTGTCGTATGCCATCAATCTGGATGCCTCGAACAGCAATAACGCTGGATCTACGAGACTGGCATGCAAGAATGCGGTGAACGATGTGTCGCTTCTGCCTGCTTCGACAAATACATCTGCAAATGCCTTCGACAAGGTCAAGCCGTTCTCATACCTGCAGTACGAGTTGCCCTCCATCGCCGACTACCAATTTGTGGCCGTTGTGGAGAAGGCGAAGGATTTGACACCAGGATGGGTTGTAGCCGAATTCAGCAATGCTGCGGAATCGTCTACACAGGTCAGCAAAGGCCACCACCAGATACTAATCAGCGGCATGAAGGTCAAGCTTCCTGCCGATAGGCCCATGATGACCGAACTGAAGATTCCGGAGATTCACTCTACCATGTTTGCGTACTCTCTGCAGGTGAAGCGCAAAGAATGCAAAAAATACGAGGAGAGCTTTGCACCACTTCTGCGCCAGTACATCGCGGAACCCTACGAGTCGAAGTACTTCGTGAATACGAAAGGTGGTAATATCAACGTTCATGGACTTTCTCCATTCATGCCACCACCGCTTGCAGGAGGTCCGACCGACGGTCTGTCGTTGCAGCTTTGGACCGATCCGACATGCAATTCCACAGTTGAGGTCTCTCTGCAGGTTGATGTGCTTGGCAGTGCGGGTAAGCTCGTCATGAGATACCGCACTGTCTTCGCCGCCTTCCCGCTTCTAGTCGTGGCACTGGTCCTCCGGAAACAGTTCAAGGTCTACGACACGACTGGCGTCTTCATGAGCTTCACGCAAAGCATGGACCAATGCATCAGGTCATCCATTCCGGCAATCTGGGTTGCATTGACATTCTTCGCCGTTGCGGTCTCAAAGTCTAGCCACAGCGTGTGGACAAGACACCTGCTCAGTACCTCTACTGGCACCTCTGAGCAGGCCATCGACTTTACTGTCAACGACCTCATGCTGGGCACATCCGATCCCTTTTTCTGGTTCCTGGTGCCTCTCTTCGCCATCATCAGCGTCGGCATTTGCATCGTCATGAATTATGTTGTCCTCATGTTGACACATGTTTTTGCACTCATCACTGCACATACTAGGCCGGGCACTCAGCGGCTTGCAGACGGGTACGTCAAGCATCACATCTCGCAATATCTCATGTCTAACATTGTCTCCAGTACGACTCAATCCTATGGCGGTGCCATGAATCAACGATTATTCACGACCGGCATGTTATTGCTGCTTGTGGTAACTGTGATTCCGTATCAATTCGCCTACCTGGTGCTTTGCACAAGACAAATCTTTACCTGCGTTGGCTCGCTTAGAGGTGCACAGGAGACTCAATCTGCAGCCAGCTACAACTTCTACAACTACACGCATTCGATGCTGATCCTCATGCTTTGGATTCTGCCTATCAACATGCCTGTCCTGGTGGTTTGGATACACAACTTGACAGTACACTGGTGGACACCGTTTTCCACGCACCACAACTTGCTATCTGTGCTCGGGTACATCTTGCTGGTCGAGGTGATGAGCACGAACAGTATGATACCACGGGTCACGAGCCGGTATGTATCCCACTTTAAGACAGCAATGATGACCATGAGACTGACGTCCAATCCAGCATCCGATTCCTCACCAACACATTAATGTTTGCATTGGCACTCTACGCTGCCGTGTACGGCGTCACTTACGCCTACCGGATGCACTACCTCGTGAACGCGTTGTGTTTCTGGCTGTTCGTCATACACCTCTCGAACGGACCATACTCGCTGGCGAATATGGCGAAATTCTTCTCTGGCAGCGGCTCAACATCGCCGCCGCCTGGAGGACATTCCAGTCATGGAAAGAAGCGACCATGATTCTAAGGACAACAACAATTCTGAGATACCACCAGCTTTCGTGTTTATTGTTTGTGTGTGAAAGAGAGGGTGTCCGGTCTGGAATAGGAAGGACTGGGCGACCTTTTTTACTGATAGAAGATGAACCCGGCATGACAACTTTGCATCAACGCATGGAGCCTCTTTGCAGCGGAAAGCCTTTTTTTTTACTTGCGGCGTCCCGATGTACATACATACGCTTAGAGACACCCCAGTAGTATATAATGAGTAATACCCAACGCGCGATTGAGGTTTGAGAAAGTCTACACAACAATCTCCTTGGAAACCTTCGAAGTCATCTCACCACCACCACCGCCGACATCCTTCTTCACATTCGCGGCTTGTTCCTTGAACACTTTCGCCTTCCCATAACTCTCCCTATAACTCCCACCCACACACTCCATCACCGTGATCGGCTCATACTTCTTGCTTTCCCCCTCTTTCCTACAATTCGGCAAGCAATCGATCACATAATCCGGATGTCCCGAAAAGAAAAACGGGACGGAATATCTTTCTTTTCCGCTCTTGTTTATCACCCGGTGCAGGTTGCTGATGTATAAATCGTTGGACCACCGCATGAACATGTTTCCTAGGTTTACTACGTAGGCGCCTGGGACGGGGAGGACCTGTGAATTTTTTTTAGAATGGATCGTGGATTGGGGATGGGAAGGGAAGGGATCAGCTTACGTCGAGCCATTCGTTTGTGGATTTCTCGTGGACTTGGAGACCGTCTACTTCGTCTTGCATCAGGAGCGTGATGGAGCCGAAATCCGTATGCGCGCCGATTCCGCGGGTGAGTTTTTCGTCGGAGGTTGGCGGTTGGGGTGGGTAATGCAGGTATCTGAGTGTCGCTACGGCTCCGGTTGTGAAGGGTTGGAAGTAATCTTCCGGCAGGTCTAGGGTGAGGGCGATCACGCTGAGGACTTCGCGGGCGAGGGTGTGCATGTGGGAGTAGTAGTGCATGGATACGCGGCGGAATTTCTCGGCGTCGAAGGAGGGATGGGAAGGGGTGGAGGGGGGCCATTGGTTTGGACCGCTGTTGAGCTTTTCGCCGGTGAAGTAGGGGTGGGATTTTGAGATTTCTTCGCCGATGTAGAAGCCTTCTTTGAGGTCGGGGTTGGTTCCTGCTTCGAGGATTTGGGAGCCGATGGATTCGTAGCCGCGGTTCCAGGTTGTGTTGTCTGGGTTGGAATTTTTGATGAGTATGATGGGTATCGATCGATTCTTTTTTTAACAAAGATACACACCTTTGTGCACTTTCTCCTTTAGCTCCTGAGGGAGATTGAAGAATGATTTCAAACTATCTAGCACATCTTCCTGCAGTTGTCGAGGAACGCGGTGCCCGACGATTTGGAAGAATCCGTTGCGAAGACAACATTTCTTGACCGTTTCAACCAATTCAGACTTGGCAGCTGCATCGTTGCCGTAGATTACGGAAAAGTCGAGGATTGGAGGTGCTTCTGCTATTGGCTTTGACGACATATTTTACGATGTCTTCTTCTTGATGATGAGTGAGGTTAGAACACGATCAACTGAGAGTTTTTGACATGATATCCAGCATTTGAGAACTGCTGATCATCACGGGCAGTAGATATCGAGAGCTCCGCCAGATGAGGTTCTTCCAGAACAAGGTGGGTCGGATGGACCCGCTTGGCAGCAGGGAGAGATATGGAGGAATGGGGAAATCTTGTGACCAAGTACCCTGTCGTTGCAAAAGTGGGGAGTCAGTGCGCACGCTCGTGACATGCGCTTAGAGATGACCATTGATCTTGCGCCAAGAGGATATATCTGGTTTCTCTGGCGGCAATGTGGGACTCTTGTCTCCAGGAAGTAGTGGACGTGATCCGCTTCTCTTACGTCTTGTTTGTGCAAGACCGGGCGGGCAATGACTGACTCTCTCAAGCTACAGATACCAGGAAGCTCTTCTCGCCGTATTTAGGCTCAACTGTGCCCATTGCCAGGATTTCATCACCCACTGCAAGTCTCAGTCGCTCGGCGGTCGCAGGACTGTCGAGGACCAGCGGCTCTTGCACTCCACGATCCGCTCTAGCACTCTTCAATGCCTCCCGCAAAGCAAATAAGACGGTTGCTCCAAGAAATAAAGGTGGCTCGCCGACACCTTTGCTGCTCTGGATCGACTTTAGATGTCCCCACTCGACGCCTTGTAAGTAGCTGACATTGAATTCTTGCGGAATGTCGGCAAAGCCTGGAATCTTATATGTTCCAGGTCCGCGGGTAAAGAGCTGTCCGCTGCGCGTCCAAAGCGACTCCTCGATAGTAAACAGTCCTTGACCTTGCACAAATGCGCCCTCTATCTGTCCATAGTCGATAGCTGGATTGATGGAGCGTCCGATATCCATGTGTATATCTGTGCGTAGCACTGTGTGATCGCCAGTAAGAGTATCAAGTTCAACCTCCGAGCAGGCCACACCTTGCGTCCAGTAGTAGTACATATCTTTAGCCGTCTCTGGGTCGTGGTTCCATGTATAACCCACTCGGGGCATCTTCCAGAAACCGGTGGCATTCAAATTGACGCGATCCAGATATGCGGCATGTGCGATGGCCGCCATGTCATTCCCGTACTTGGCTCGATACGGCTGCAAACGCTCATTGAGCTGATCACATGCGTCCTTGATGGCCATTCCATTGAGATCGCTCCCAGATGAAGCTGCAGTCGGAGAGACGTTGGCAGTGTAGTAACTGCTGGTATCGGACGTGTAGACGGAATCGAGCGGTACGTCCAACTCTTCTGCCGCAATCTGACACATCTTGGTGTAGAGTCCTTGGCCCATTTCGGTGCCGCCGTGGTGTAGGAGAATGCTTCCATCGGCGTATATTTTGACCGCAGCCGTGGCTTGGTTCAGATTTAAGGCTGTTGCGAATGAAATGCCGAATTTGCATGGCAATAAGGCGATGCCACGTTTCCGCCATTTGTGTTGCTGATTGAAAGCCTCGATGTTCTTTTTCCGGGTGGAATAGTCAAACCTGCCGTAAGACTGTTCCAGTAGCAGCGGAATATGCCAATCGATCCCGAGCTTCTGCAGAAAAGGAGTCCGATGCTCTTGCCGGTAGAGGTTCTTGGCTCGAAGCTCCTCTATCGGTATGTCCAATCGCTCGGCAATGTTCGTCATGTAAGCTTCGGCCATGAACATACCCTGTGGCGCGCCAAAGCCTCTGAATGCCGTGTTACTGTGAGTATTGGTCTTGCAGACATGGCCCCTAGCGTGACAGTGCGGAATCTCGTAGCAATTGTCGAGATGTGTCAAAGTGCGGCCCATCACAGCAGTGCTCATCTCCGTAGAGAACCCGGCGTTATTGTAAACATCGATGTCGAGCGCCACAAGCGTACCATCTTTCATAACACCGACCCTCCAGGTCGCCTTGAATGGGTGTCGCTGTCCGCTCGTGATCATGTCTTCTTCACGAGTCAGCATCATCCGCACAGGACGCTTTTCCTTCTTCGCAGCGAGAGCCAATGCGCACGCCAAAGGCACGCAGCGAGACTCCTTGCCTCCGAAGCCACCACCCATACGCTTCACTCGGGAGTCGACCCGATTGCTCGAAACACCAAGCACCTTCGCGACGAACTCCTGGTTCTCCATTGTGTTCTGCGTACTGGACCATACCTCGACCTTGCCATCTTCTGCAGAGGGAACGACCATGGCCGCTTGCGTTTCGAGGTAGAAATGCTCTTGGCCACCCATCCGAATGGTGCCTTCAAAGACATGATCGCAGGTCTGGAAGATAGCTTCCATGGCTTCACCACCCTCAGCAGCAGCTCCTTTCCGGAGCTCACGCGGAAATGGAAAGTAGCTCTCAGCCTCGATCGCCTCGTCAATTGTGAGGATGGCAGGTAGGTCCTGGTAGGCCACTTTGACCAGATCCGCCGCCTTCCGAGCTTGAATGGCGGTCTCTGCATAGACAAGTCCTATAGTCTGCCCATGGGATTTGACCACGTCCGTAGCGAAGAGTTCTTCATCTTTGACTACGGAGCCCCAGATATTCGCTCCTTCTGGGACATCACGGTGATCAACGTAGCCGATCGCCAGTCCGGGGCCAATTGCCGCGGAGTAGTCCACACTGAGAATTTTCGCATGAGCTTTTGTTGAGAACACGAAGGCGCCATGAAGCTCTCGATCGTGCTTCGGTATGTCGTCCAGATACTCCGCTTCACCAGTACCGTGCTTCAAGCCAGATAGATGAGGAACTTGCTGACCTACCACACGCAGCGCCGTTGGGTTGACATTGTCTCGGGCACCATGCGATATGCCTCGATGGATCTCATCGACCAGGTCTTGGTCGTATCCGCCAAGATTCAGCTCTCGCATAACCTCGTGCCAGAAGCGGGTGAAGAAAGATAGAGACAGTGTAGTCCGATACGTGGCCATTCCGCCGGGAACACCATACGGGAGCCCAAGCTCTTCGCGAAGCGAAAGTAAAGCGTCGCGGAGAGTGCCTGGATCCTTCCACTCTCTGCCTTCCAGTAATGCCTGCGTCTTGGGAGCCAAACGAGTGATGGGAGCCATTCCTCCGAATGCACACGCAACATGTTCCACGCGACCGTTGTGATTGAGTCTAACTCGGAAGGCACTTGTCACAATAGCAATGTCATCGTCCTTGCGCTTTGCTTGCTTGTATGCTTTGAAGACTTCCGTCGAGTCTGCTGGTGGAATTGGCAGGATGATCTGAACAATGACAGCGTCGCGCGAAAGAGCAATCTTCCGATATCCCTGGAAGAATGTCTCAATTGGTAACACCACAGTACCGTTCGCTAAGCTGCGGGTAACAACTTTGGCTCCTGATGCAAGAAGCACAGGATTCATGTCTGAGATCGGAGATGCTGTGGCCAGATTGCCAGACAAAGAGGCTGCGTTTCGGATCTGACGACCGGCGAAATACCGCAACTGTTTCCTAGTAGCCTCCAATACAAGTCCTCGCCGTCCAAGCTTTGCCGATGCATTGGCGCAGAGGCTTTCCAGTTCTGTCAATGGCGTTCCACCGCCAATTTGCAGTTCTCTCATTGAAGCCCACTCAGCATCACTCTGAGGCAACTTGGTCTCCAAAAGCTCTGGAATGTCGCCGATGTAGACCATTATTGCAAACTTTGACTTTCGAAATCGAATGTCGACTTGCACTTCGCTTGAACCGCATACCATCTGCGCAGAAGGGTCAAGATTCTTGATTCGAAGAAGCTGATCAAGACTCGTAGGTCGCAGCCACATCTTTTCTGAATTGCCAAAACATAGCGGTTCGCAAGAGAATTTTCGTAGCGCCGGCGGAAATATGAGCTCGGCGTCGGATCGGTAGGGGCTGAAGTCCAGATCTAATCCATCAAACATGTTAGGGCGCTTCCTCTGCTTCTCCTCGTGCGTGATATCGGTGACAAATCCATAATCTGAGGCGTGGATCTCTGTCTCCGTTGTACTGGAAGGCGGACGATTAGGACTACCGTCACTAGAGCATTCTGGATCTGACATCGACTCGTCACTAGATTCTGCTGAAGCCTCTTTCTTGTCTCGACAGCATCCTCCCGGCCTTCCACACGACACTTTTGCATCTTTGCAAATGGTCTGCACTTGCCTTCTTTCTTCATCTTCAGCAGCCAGTGAGACATCTGCGCTGCTGTGATCATCCTGGATTAGTTCGCAACCCAAGTCTGAGGTGATGAACGTCTTGACTGCTGCGAGTATTGGTTTGTATCCGGTACAGCGACATAGATTTCCTGTATTTGCCGTGTCAGTATGTGAAGCACTCTCGACAGCCGGAACGTTCTGACAGACCATCCAAGTGGCCCTCGCTCTCAACCATTCGCTCTGACAGCGTGAAAGCTTTAGTCGCAGGGTCGTAGGCATTTCGGATCATGGCATAAACACTCATAACAATGCCTGGAGTGCAGAATCCACATTGTGATCCATGAAGCTTTGCAAGTCGTTCTTGAATCGGATGCGGTCTCTCTACGTTGCCCAAACCCTCAACTGTGATGAGATGCTTGCCCACAACACCGACCAACGGAAACAAACATGCATTGACAGCCAGATGTTTAATCGTTCCCGCGCGATCAAGTTGCTGCAAGACCACTGTACAAGCACCACAGCCGCCCTCGCCGCATCCGAGCTTGGTGCCTTTAGCATCGGGCCGAGATCGAATATAGTCCAGCAATGTCCATTCTGGATCGGGATTCTCAAGCTCGATCTTCCTACCATTCATATAAAAGCGCAGAGTGTTGTCGGTGAACTCAGACTCGATGATCGGCTGTACTTTCTGGAATGCCTCTGGTATTGCTGGTCGCCGTAGCGTGAACGGCAGTGCGTGAGGCATCATTGTGGTTGCGAATTAGATGCTATGTGACGGGATTTGGCATGGGAGTGTCCTGTTCAATGCGTGAAATGTGCTCACGGCTATGTTTGCAATGCACGAGCATAGGATAGTATTGCTGCACTTGAAGGAAGTGGGGTGCGTGGTAGCAGTAGTACTGCAGTCGAAAGTGGGGAAGGGAAGAGGTCTGATAAGAGGTGGATTCCAATGCCAATCCAATGTTGAGCTGCGGACGACTCTTGGAGCCCACCCATACCCATGCCCATGCCCATGCCCATGCCCATACCCATACCCATGCCCATGCCGCCGTCGACGTCGTTGTCCACGTCTCACTGTTCACATCATCCTCCTACGCGTGTTGCATACAGTAAGTTGGAGGAGCATATTGTCCTCGCCTCTCCACCTCGTTTGCCATTCGCCTTCTGCTGTAGCCCACTCTTCCTTGTGCAGCAGCTGGACTCTGGAGATCAAGTCTTCGCCATTGCAGGGCTTTTTCGAAGGCATGCCAACTGCTGGCAAGTGAGGTTGTGGTCAAGGACAAACGGAGGCGCTGAGCTTTGTTTACGTGCACATCTCAGAGGAAACAGCCGGAGTCCAAAAGCGGGCTAGCGAGCGTCTGCATGCTGAGACAAGACAAGGTCAGAGAACACGAGGCAACTCCTTTTACACATCACATAGCATAGCATCATAACCTCGTGACTGTTTCTATATCCCATCACATCATTTCAACAAATGCTTCTTCCCTTGAAACATGAAAATCCGATTAAGAAATCTTGGGCAAAATCCAAGTCACCACACTCTGCGGCGGGATGGTTCCACTCCAAGTCTGACCGCTGGTAGTGTTGAGTGTCATATAAACACTGTTTGTAACAGTGCTGAGAAAGACGACAGTTCGCGTGCCATCAGGATTGATGGATCCGACACTCTGGACAGCCTGTCCATTTGAAATGCTCCCACCACCAGCGACAGGCAGGACTCGTGCACCTCCAGGCATGAACTTACTGAACTGCGCCATCATGTAGTAAGCAGTATTCAGTGTATAAGATCCATCGTTATTGATGGTGACGAGACCGGTACAGTGTGCGCAGCCATTGTAGATGTGAGGACCGTTGTTCACATCGGCAGCGAGGTTCCAAGCCATCGCTCCCGAAGCCCAGTTTTGTAGAGGGCCCATGGTGAATGCTGCGGCGTTGTACCAGGGAGGTGTGGAAGGAGTCCAACATTCGGTCATGTATTGGATCACGTTGGTGTTGTTTGCTTTGAAAGAGGAGAGGACGTCCCATCCTGAGGTGCCGGAGTAGCAGTGCCAAGCTACCGTGTTGACGTATTGGCCTGCATGGTCAAGGATTGTTTGAGGATAGGATGGCTTGTCTGTGTTGTGATCGTAGGCCCAAATCTGAGTAGTCAAGCCTGCTTGAGCGAAGGCTGGCCCGAGACGGTTCTTGATCAAGAGAGCGTTCTCGTAGTCATATACGTACATAGTCGGGAAGCCAGCAACAGAGTTCAGGGGTTCGTTTTGTAAAGTGATGGCATTGACTGGTGCTCCAGCATTCTGGTAGGCTTGAATGTACTTGACAAAGTAGTTGGCGAAGGCATAAGAGTAGTCGGTCTCGCTAGAGTTGAGATATGTATCTTGTAGATTGTTGTTTTTGGCGTTGCCTGTGAGAGCTTTGTTTCTCTTCATCCACCCAGGTGCGCTCCAGGAAGAACCAAGGAGTGTCATTCCAGGCTGAGCTTTCCGCATCTTGGCAAGTACGGAGGCCATGGCTGTGCCATTCGTACCGAGCGTGAAATTGGCCAGATTAGGATCAGGCTGATTATTGTTGTCGTCATACGTGTAGTTGGTGGCACTCATGTCGGAGCCACCGATCGTGTGCCGCATGAGGGAGAAGTTCGCTCCAGATGTTGTCATCAACGTATTGATCAGACTGTTCTGATTGGTGCTTGACATTCGATTAAAGGTGACGACGGTGGAGTCGGTCACCGCCGCGCCGAAGCCGGTAATGTTCTGTCGGTACGCAGCTGCAGTGTCGTTGAGCACCAAACCCCAAGCTGTTGTGCCAGACGGCTGAGTGCCGGCACCACGGGCAGGGGCAGTAATGGCACTGAGCTTGTATGTGCCATTGTAGTCGCTGCAATAAGCTGATGTGGAAGACTGCCGGATCTCTAATGGTAAGGCAGCGATGGAGATGGCACTGGCAATGAATGAGACGATAGCGAAGCTCAGCATGATGGCAGTCGACTGTGGTGCCCCTTTCGAGTGTTAGCTTTTGCGCCGTCCATGCACTTGCGATGCAGAGAGCGCGTTATATGTCCTCGCCGGCTATGACAGGTGTAGTCCTGCAGCGTCATGGCGCTACTCAGAATGTCGTTCTCGATCATCGATCACAGCCTTGCATTAGGGTCGCGGCGAGGTCCAGAATGCTCCAAGCGTGTTCCTGCAAAGCGTAATGTGGAAGCCACAAGCGCTGATAAAGAAATTCAATGAGGAGATTTGGGTTCAACAGTGTCCTTGCGATCGCTGCATATGGTGACGAGAGAGCACTGCTGCTAACAAAGGGTGTCTGCGCTCATCACAAAGTGCCCATCGAAGACTCAACCAAACCGGAGTCGCTGAAACATGACCCCCTGTTTCACGTGCAGCTCCAGGAAACTTTTGTTGATAAGCGCGTAGACTTGCAGGCTGTCACGACAATGCAGTTCCCAAGAAAGGAGCAGTGCCTCTTCAGTATTCGCTGGGCCGCTGAGAGGCAACTACGCCAGCGTAGTAGACATGCTCAGAGGTACGCCATGCTCCAAGTGGCAACATCCAGGCACTTAGAAGAGTTCAGCTTTTCCCAATGAGTACACATGCGGAACGGTGTCTCCAGAACTGCCCATCGGTTAGCTTGTTATCTGTAGCGACTGATAACCAATGGAGTGATTGAGGGTGCACCTCAGCTTGGCGTACGGTCCCGGCAGCCCTACCCACTCATACGCTGCAAGGACAAGGACTCTTTCCCAACAGCAAGTCTTCCGGCCAGGTAAACCCACGATGCCGAGACAAACTTTGTGCGATCGCATACGTGGCCGCCGAAGGCCAGGAGGCCATGCATCTAGAACCAATCAATGGCGGTATTCGGCGCAGTGGTAAGTATGACGGGTGCCTCCATACTCTGTGCAGCCCGGTGGCAGCTACGCTCTGAAGTCCTGGGTACATAGACTGCCAACTGCTGTTGTTTGGCCGTCAACGATGCGTGGGTCGGACGAGCAAGCGCTGTCCGGTGCACTCTGCAGGAGCCTCATCCAGGAACTGTACATGCAGGTGCTCATTGATTGAGTTCATGGCGCTGAACTACAGCTATTGTCCTTTCGTAGGGCAGTTCTGACGTCCAAGCTTATTCCGGTAAATTCGATGAAGCTGCTGTCGCCCAATCAACTTGCACCTTTGCTGAGTCCTGTCATCGCTTATCGCCGTCCAAGTGGTGTGTTACCGGCTTCTGATCGTGCTTCTCTTAGAGAAGGCTGGTCAAGATCCAATGTCTGCATAGCAGTGCAGCGCCTCGGCCCATATACAGTTGGGATCATCCTAGCTGGCCGTGGTCCAGCGACTGCGAAGGCCTCTACTGCATAGTCACACCGTGATTGGCTTTACTCAAAGATCATGGGGTGCTGGTGCAGGAGCGTGGTGGGGGTCGCACCTAAGGATAAATAATGCCATAACTAGACACGTCGACGATAAAGATCAGAGAGACGTCGGAAAGAGTTTCGAAGTTGGCCAGGTGACATCCGGGGAGTTGGACCGCATCCGGAGAGTAGGGGGTCACATGCATGCACAGGGCTTCCGGGCTGTGATCTACAAGGCAAAGTTTGGTAGCTTGCTTCTCATCCAGGCTTCAGTCTCGCCAGCCTGCCTAGATGTACAATATTGAGACCGCGAGGCCAACATGCTGACGCAAGGGTCTACTCCCGTAACGAATCATGCTGCAATAATAACGAGTACTAATGCTTCACAGCGGAATAACACACCATGACGATGTTAGCCTGAGCTTATTCCAAACTTACTAGAAGGCTTCCAGCCTTGGCGCACGGTCAGCCTTGGCGCACGGTATTTAGCCACTTCCGTAGACTATCTTTATATGTGAATAACTCTACAACTATAGACCCGATTAACAAGGCGATTAATAATCTGAATAGCCAGGACACTCCTAATATCGCTGCTACTACTAGGACCTATAGAGTGAACCGTTATACGCTTTCTAAGCGCTAGAGAGGTGTCTAAGGTAGTAAACAGGCCTAATACGAAGATAAGCGATTATTAAGTGATCCACAAGAGACTAAGTTAGTCTAATATATTAATAAGTTAACTAACTTAGGCCTACTACCGACTGCCTAAATAATATAGAATTTCGCTAAGTAGGTCTATAGCTAGGAGCCTAATAAGAACTAGCCTACTAAGTTTACTAAAAGGCACTTAGACATATTGTCTTCTAAGTACCTTAGCAACCTAGATAAGGCTCGGAAGAAGGCTAATTTATAGTCCTCGTATACTAACTACTTTACTAAGCTAGAAGCAAAGATAAAGAAGTATAATATTAAGCCTAAGAATATATATAATATAGATAAGAAGGGCTTTATAATAGGTGTACTTAGCAAAGCTAGAAGGATCTTTATAAAGCAGGCCTTATTAAGTAGCTAGCTAAAGGGGTATATATAGGATAGCAACCGTAAATAGATAATAGTTATTGCCTATATTAGTGCTAATAGTAAAGCACTGCTACCTGCCTTAATCTATAAGGCTTAACCTAGCTAGTTTTAGGATACCTAGGTAGAAGATATAGACCTATAACAGCATATAGCCTTCTTTACCGAGTTACCTTCTAGCTAGACAAACGATAAGCTTAGCTTCGTATAGCTCACTTAAGTATTCGATCGCTTTACAAAGCAGAAGGCTCGTAATAGTCGCTCTTAGCGGCTATTAATGCTAGATAGCTACGGCTCTTATTTAAATATAAAGTTCCTTAACTAGGTACTATAAAGACAGATACTAATAGGCGTATATCCGCCTTATTTAACCTATAGATTATAGCCTCTAGATATCTCGTTGTTTGCGCCTCTTATAAGCTATTATTTAACAGCCTTAAACTAGTTTATACACAGATCTATAGGTATATAGGGTGTAACAAAGCGGGTGTTCTTTAACCTATTCTAGCAGGCTTAGACTAAGGCTATAGTAAAGAAGAATATATCTAGTAGCTTCTAGAAGATAGGCATCTATCCGTTCAATCTAGAGGTAGTGCTATCTAAGCTAAAGAAGCTAAAGAATAAGACAGAAGCGACATCTAGTAAGCAGGCTAGTAAGCCTTCCTTAAAGGCTTTAACTAAGTCGAGTATTAAGCGAGCTAACTAGAAGAAGATTGAGGCTATTGTTAAGACTATAGTAGACGCGAAGAACTCGAAGAAAGTGCTAAATCTAAGGGACTAGGTTAGCAGCTTACAGGCTTAGAATATATAGCTCTTAAGTTAAGTTAGTAGACTTATAGCTGCTCTTAGTAATAAGCAGAAGCGTAGAAAGCGAGGCAAGAAGTTGTTTAAAGAGATAAGGGCTAAAGACGGCTCTACTACTATATTTCACTTACCTAATAAGATTTAGTAAGCAAGAGATATACTTATTAGAAAGGAGTAAGAGAAACAAGTAGAGGCTACTTAGAAGGAGGCTTAGAGGGTCTAGCAGCAACTAAATAAGCAATATGCTATATAGGCTAAGGCACTAAAGGTATAGTAGAGACAGGTTGCTACTAAGGAAAGGAAGGAGAAACTAGCTTAGAAAGTAGCTAAGAAGGAGGTAAGGAAACAGTTAGTTGTAGCTGCTAGACAGCTGAATAACAATCTTTAGGATAGTGTTAAGAAGGTAAGGAACCCTCTAAGGCGTATTGTATTTGAACAGCCACAGGAAGAAGATGTTGTATGCACTCTAAGGAAGAAAGCCGGAAATCGGGCTTCAGAGGTGAAGCGAGCTATACTAATTGTAATACTACCTATAAGGGTCTAGAAGTTGTCCCAATCAAACCGGCGTAGTCGAAATGTATATAGAGGAAAGCATTAATGGTATAGCCGTTATATTGATAGAATGCGACCGTAGAGAAGGTGTATAAGTTGAATTATAGAAAGCGTGCGCCAAGGCTGACCGTGCGCCAAGGCTGGAAGCCTTCTATCGTTTCCGGAACTTCGCTAAGTGGCTGCATTTCTTCGTCAGCAATAGAGCCGGGATGTAGGCAGTAACTTCCGCATGCACCACATCCTTCATAAAGATGCTTTGGTCGACCATGAGACTGTGCCAGCGGAGCTGTTACCGCGTCCGGGTCTACATGGCTCGAGTCGCGCTGCCTGTACGCACAGTGATATCGAAGTGCGTATTCTAGAGCCACTGGAACTTCATCGATTTGCGCTGACTGCGGTCGAGGCAGAATGACACCGGCAGCGTGTCAGATGAACATTCCGGTGTCGGGAGTCGAATGTAACTCTGTGAAGTTCCGATGCGTAGCTCCGCAGCACACGTCTGGGAGCTGCGGCATGAATGGGTGTCTCGTTCTTGAAGTCATGCGGACACTCCGTATGTTTCGTGCGAATCAAAAGTTCCATGACAACGCAGCATCAACATCGAAGATCGGAAGCTGTAAGAGTCTGCCCTGCCCTGGGTGATTAATGTAGACTTGCAACAGCACCATTTTTTACTGAGAGCTGTCGGATCTGTCTCATATTGACCTGACGTCTGGGTATTGTTGCTCAGATCCCTGGAAGAGGCGGCAAACGGCCTTTCTTCAAGTCTGCCCGGATTCATTGATCTTGTGATGCGGGTACATTGGAGGTTGCTGCGTGGACAAGCATTTGGAGTTATCGCTCGGTGAACACCTCACGCATGCTTTAACCATGAGTGCAGCATACCGAGGTAACTATATTCCACACAGGATCGATGGTTCCCTTACTCGGGGTTTTGAGTCCAGGCCAATGCGGAACGCGTCGCAGCATCCAGTCCGTGCCAGGCACAGCACTTGGAGGATAGCTCGCGTAAAATCCAGGACATAGACCAATCTTCCATTTTCTAATCATGTGAGAAAATGATCTCGGGTCGGAGCGGAAGGAGGTGTTTGCACGAGAGGTTGGCGTGTGTGTTGTGCGGTGCGGTTGCCGCCAAGAATATATAGAATATTTCGGGAGCGGAAGTCGGCAGCAAGCGAGATCTGATCGGCAGTGAGCCCCACGTGAAACTGACGAACCTTGATCAGCGACGGGTACATCGAAGGAAGGAGCACCCAAGCAAGCATCCAGCCCCAGCTCTCCGCGACATACACGTTGGCCGCATCGCAGGCGACATGGAGCACGAGACCGAGCGTGGACGAGTGAAACTGCTACTGTAATGGCGAATCGGAGAACGCTGGGAGGCGGTCGGGTATTGGGCAGCGGCAAGAGCATCGGACCTCCACGGCCAGCGCCATCGCCATCGCCATCGCCAGCACAGGAACCGGCAGTGCGCAATACAGGCTTGTTGTCGCCCTCCGAGAGCTCGGTGTCCCTCAGCTCACACACCTCGAGCACGCCGATATCGACCGACCATGAAGACCTCGCATCCCGCATCGCCCTGGACGGCGACGGGGTGGCTCAAGCGGCCGCAGCGGCCACGAGTCGTATGGTCTGCCCGATATGCAACGAAGAGATGGTATGAAGTGGACACATAAGCTGCAATCGGATGAAGTCTGGCTGACATGCGCCAGATGACTCTACTCCAGCTGAACAGGTAGGTACGCAGGTCTGGGACAGCCCGGTGTGTAAGGTGCGAGCCCGGTTTGACAGGACATAGACATATCGATGACAACCACGCCAATCTAGAGGAGATCGAACAAGATGAGGCCAAGACGTGGTTCAAGCAGCAGATGACCAAGGCCAAGAAGTTCCAGCCGCTTGCCTTGATCAACCAAAAGCTGCGGGGGTTGGAGGCCTTCGAGTCTAACAATGATGTTCCTCCCATACTGAGCCAGGCTGCTCGTATCGTCACGGAAGGGCGAGAGCCTTCCCCTGCGCCGGCACCGAAGGCACCACTAGCAGAAGCGCCCCATCCAGATGAGGTTGTGACCAGAGCACATTGGCAGCGACCCCACGGCGGCGAAGCGTGCTCGGATCCCATGTGCGGGAAGCGACTGGGCCCTGCAAACGGCCAGATCAACTGTAGACACTGTGGGAAGCTCTTTTGTGAAGATCACACCATGTATCAGATGAAGCTTTCGCGGGCTGCCCAGCATGAGCCTGTTCGCGGTCTGTGGTGTCGTGTATGCGAGACTTGCTATAAAAGCAGACCCGGCTACAACGACCACACTGGCTTTGAGAGGAACCACACAGACTTCTTCAAGACTGCAAGACGGAAACATGTCGATAAGCACTATCTCGAGCAGAGCAGGTTGGAGACCAGACTCACGAGATTAACGCAACTTCTCGCCGATCCGCCGCCACCCGACCAAAATCAAAGCACGACCAACCTGCTGTGGTCTTCGATCGCTGGCAACAAGAATCATCTCCGCGCGTTGGAACAGTCTGTCGTGCCTTGGGAAGACGATGCTTCTATCCACGAATGCCCGTTCTGTCAGCAGCCCTTCTCACAGTACAGCCTCCGCAGACATCACTGCCGAATCTGCGGGCGTGTCGTTTGCGGCGATCCTGCAACAGCATGCTCATCGGAGATTGGGTTCGATGTTGAGACGAGTAAGTTTCGACAACGCATCGTCTGTCGTCACTAATGAAGCGCAGATGCTAATTCGATATCAGAAAAGCCAGGGGTCGGCAAGATCGCAGTTGACGTACGCATGTGCAAAGATTGCCAAAGGACCATCTTCAGCAAGGCCGACTTCGAACGAGAGCTCAATGCGTGGCCGCCTGATCAGCGTGCCTTCAACAATCTCATTCAGTTCGAACATGGTATTAGGCTACTTCTTCCAAAGTTTCAGCGATTGCTTGGTCCACTTCAGGATCCGGAAAATCCGCCGACACCAGCGCAGTTGGCAGAGGCATCGAAAGTACGGAGACGACTCATGGATGCTTTCACGCAGTACGATGTGGCCGCGCGACGAATACGCGACCTCCCTACCGAAAGTCCCACCCAAGAGCGGTTACAGAAGGCAATCTACTCTCAAGCCACGAACTTCTTGCATATTCACATGTTGCCATTGAAGTCTCTGCCCAAGATAATGAGACATGCAACACCAAACGGAATGCGAGGTCCAGGCCAAACAGCTTTGTCGGCCATTAATTACAACCGCATTGCGAACGGTGGTGGATCCAGGCCGAGTTCCAGTCGCGCCAGCAGCGAAAGCTCGGTCGCTGTCACCGCCTTAGAAGCTGAGGAGAAGCAGCTCAAAGAGCGCTTGATAGTGCTCGAGGAGCAGAGATTCTTTGTCTCCGAGATGATAGCAGATGCCAACAAAGGCCGAAAATTCGACGAAGTATCAGCGCTTAGTCAAAATGTGGAAGAGATCACCAAAGAAGTCGACCAGATCCAAGCCCAGCTAGCTGGTATGGACTTCGCAAGCGCATATGTCATCAAGTGAGACCAGCTGATTCGAGGACTTGTAAAATAACATATCAAGGGAAGGAGCTGAATAACATCTACCAGGCCGTGGATCTGGATTGAAGCTGCGAGGATGTCCCCAGCGATCAGTTGGATCAATTGTGCTTGAGACCAGACCGACGATGCCGTGATCGCGTGCGACTTGAAGCTCTTCAGCCAGACAGGACTGGACCGGGAAAGAAGGAGGCCATGATACTTCAGACAAGGCTCTTGCTGCTGAGGAGGACCGGGAGCACGACTCTGCCTCAATCCACCAATGTAACCCGGGCAGAGGCACGGTCGCGGTATGACTTGCGCGCCGGCATGATATATCCCCGATCGCCAGAACATAGAGGATAGATAGTCACGAAGGAACAAGCATTAGACGATTCAAGCCAGCGATAGGCACTTTGCAGACGATGATGACGACACACATGTGTAGATCGGAATTGCCCCGATATGAAAGAGAATGAGCAGAGATGAAATGTTGGGTGGAAAGAAGATCCGTTTTGTGATGACGATTTACCATACCTTGAGGAAATTATGGAAAGACCAGCCACGCGAAGAGGCTACCAAAGCTTACCTTCAAGGACAACCCAGCCGGCCTAGCTCTCAGGATCACTCTGCAATATCTAAAAGGCGGTACGCCTTATGGGCTTTGCATGCCTGCTTTGAGTTCTCGACCTTGGGAGATGGAGGAGAGCACGGCGCCGGAACACGGGAAAACGAAGAGAAGCTCTCGGTGCTAGGATTGGACCGTGTCAAGGATGAACAATCGGAGCGCTGGTCCTCATCGTCCAGGTCGACGAGCCATCCGGCCCAGACTGAGCAGCCGTTCGCGTACCTACCTCGCTTGGAATAGAAATTCACCAAGTCCTTCAAAGCGTCGACGGCGCGCTCTTCGAGCAGCTGGATCCGCATTTCCAGGTCGTCTGGGAAACAGTCCTGCATGTCGGCGTTCTCTGCCTTCATGAGGGCGATGAGCGCGGCTATGCGGTCGTGCTGACGCTCGGTGGGCGTGACGTTCGGGTCGTTGACTGTGTTGAAGTTAGCTGACATGAGGAGATGGGGACGGGTTCCGGAGGTTGTGACGTCGAAGGGATGGCTGATTGCTGGATCGCACTGTTGGGGTGGAGATGACTTGCCCAGAAGCTTTCGAAGTTTCCGCATTGGCGCGGGAAGTGGCTTGCTGGAGGCCATGTCGGTTGGTGAACAGGCTGGCTGGTCTGCATGTGACTTACCTGCTTGGTCTTTGGATTTCCCGAACATGCCGAGAAGATTTCGGGACGTCGAAGTGTTGGCCGGCAACATGAAGGGGCGTTCTGAAGAGGCACGAGCGTTGTCCGGCAACGTGGTGTGTAGAGGGGTGAGTGTTGCGCTGATGCCAGATAATCGTGGTCGAGGAAGCAAGCCGGTTGCTTTCGACGAAGATTTTGCTGATGCGGATAGCCAGGCATATGCTGCACTGCCGTCTGGGAAGACGGTGCATCGAGCCTGCAATATATATTATGCTCGTCAAGCCCGGGGCCACAAAGGCGCTTCACGAACAATGGTTCGGTTCGGTTGGAGGCCCATGATTCTGCTCAAAGCATGTCGTCGGCGTTTGTTCGATACAATAGGATTCTCATCCAGGACAAAGAAGACGAAAGGGCCTCACACGACTCAAAGAAAGCGCTTGGCCCTTTTTGGTCAGCAAACACCAAGCTTCACTCATCCACATGAACTTCCCTATTGTTGACGCACTTTCTGCCCGCTCTTCATGTGATGGTCGACATGCCTTTTCGAAGGCCTTGCGGCTGCTTCACCCGACTGCTTCACTCGTCTCGATGGTTTATAACATTCTTTCTATATGGCTTCTTGTTCTTCTTCCTATATCCAACTTTTCAGCAGCTACGACAATCACGACGACCTACGACATTGGCACCAGCTCTATCGCCTCCCACATCGCTTACAAGTTTGCCGAATACGACTTAAGTACTACACACTATCTTTCACAAGTTTCTCTACACCATGGACAGCAATTCCGAGGATTCCTACGCCATATCCATCTCGACTGACTACAACACGTTCGACGTCGACGGCCTCTGGCGCAATGACCAATTTGAGTCGCCAGATGATCCCACTGCTTTCAACGAGCTACTGCGCATCGCAGATGACCCAGCGCTAGATCATTCTGCCTTTACATCCGACGCCGAACAATTTGAGCAGTTCGAGCAGTCCGGCGGGTTGGCTGACGAACAATGGTATGCATTGCAGGCAACTCCACAAGTTTACCCTCAGCGCCACCATGATATACCCCTCGACACCATTGACTCCATTCACCACTCGTCAGCGTTGCACGCCTCTCGCCATGACTCTGTTGCGACGACTGCACAGGGTGAGGAGGAGAAGCGAGCAACAACTCCTACAGACGCTCATCCAACATCACAGACACTTTCTGGCGCTCAGAAAGTGCAGGGCGATGACTTGCTCTACCACATAGATCAGCACAAGGCCATCTACGGACGTCACTTGGGTGAGCCTGATGATCAGCACATTTCTGAGACCGACTGGCAGCATTATGAGAATGGGATCAAGGAGATCTTTGGACGCCAGTATTCTCAAGAATTTCAGCCACCGGGAGCCACGCCTAGACTACAACATACAACTTCTCATCAGCTAGATTATAGCGGTCCCAGCCCTTCGTCCAAGTATGGACATGAACAGATCACTGGAGCTAGTATGCCGCAAGCACCAACTCACGACGATTACCGTGGGTCCTGGGACACCAGAAGGGATATCTTTGTTCGAACTGGCATCCTCGGCTCCCAGAATGGTAATAACAACTACGCATACCCGCCAATCGACAACGGTCGGCGTCCAGGCCATTATGATGATGTTCATCCTGGAGAAGAATGTCACTCAGGTCAAGGCTTGAACGGACTCCAAGAAGACGGTTATGAAGATGCCGTCAACAGCTCTCAAGGCGATTACACATATCGGCCCTCGAGCACGCTCCAGCGTGATGGCTACGAACAGCCGTTCCAGCCCAACAGTGACCACCACGCATATTTGGGACCACCTCACAGTGAACATTTCACTGCCACTCACCCAGATCAGTATATTCCAATGCCGATGGATGCTGGACTCCATCCTGATAGACCTACTCAGATAGTCTCGTCAGATTCGCAGTATCAACCGCAGACAGTCACCCCTAGAAGATTGTTGAGTGAGGAGGAGAAGGTTCACTTGGCAAATGTGGTACGGAGCAAACAGGTGGCATACGGCGACCAGGTCAATGCCATGATCTTGAAGCATGAGATCGATTACTACCCACCGATACCACTCACACCATATCCAAAGCAGCAGGACAAGTCAAGCATCGATCATGGTTTGTCTGATCAGTACGAACACCTCAGCACCGAGGAAATTCTTGCGGGAGCAGTCCATCCTGATCAGATGTTTGGTGGCCTAATCCTTCGACTGTCCAAGACCTACAACAACAAGGACCTTGGTGATAGAATCGACGCGCTCCTTGGCAAGAAGATGGACCGAAGCACATACACCATTCGCATCTCAAACGCCGTCAGAGCCGCTGCGCTGAGAGAGGGCATCACCACGGAGCAATTCAGGGCTCGGCTGAATCAAGAGCGGCCCCCTCAGGCTTCGAAGAACTAAAAAGTAGTAGCATATCTTCTAGCATTTCTTGCGTCGACGGTCAATCCGATGTGCGGGATTGGAAACATGGGCATTTTAACGGCAGGGCAAATCATCAGGGCAACATGATCAACATCATCCCGATAGCAATTCCAATGTCCTGCTGATCTCTCTTGACGCTCTTCTCTCCAACGTGAATCTTCTCCGTTTACCTTTGTCCGTGCAGGTAAAAGCCATGCATGTCTTTAGAAGAATCGCGAAAGTGAAGCAAAGCGCTTTGACTTGTAAAACTCCCAGCCTTGCTTGCCATTTAATGCGCCTTCCCCTTCAATCCTGTACCCTCTCACGTAATTGCAGGACTCGATCGGCGCCTTCAACACATGAAGCCAAGAATAAGAAGAGTCAATCGCTCGAGTCGAAGCATCACAGCGCAAGAGTTTCTTGCTAAGTACAACGCCGTTTGCTCACACCATCAACCTCGTCCGCCACTCGGCACTTCGCCTCACTCAAGACGCGCCTTGGGATCGCAGTGCCATCAAGTCGCGCCAACGTATCAACCAGTGAACCACCAGAGTTACTCGCCGCCTACTTTTGCTGAGCGACAGCAGAGCAGTACGCCGTCATCTCACTGGAAAGCGAGAGGCCCGCAACAGCTCACATCAGATCGTTCGAGCCATCCCACCATGACTGATCCACACATGTCGCAACCAGCAGCAGCTCACGGACATTCGGATCGATTCGAGTCGCTGTCCATGTCTCATCAGCAGGCATTTAAGATTCCAATCTCAGGCATCTCGGGTTCGCAAGACGCCTTCCTGACCGTAACCGGCACGGTCGAGACGGCGCGGAAATTCCATCCGGCTGCTCAGAGTCTGATACCGCAAGCGAATGAGCCAGCAGAGATGATGACCGCCTTTCAAACCTCGTTGAAAATTCTACAGCTACAAGGAGTATTCCCGACAAACGAGCAAATCGAGACCTCCGAGCGACAAGGTGGAGCGTTCTGTGATGTGGAAAATCCCGTATCAGACGCCAACCAACCAAGTATCGCTGGCAGAGGAAGTCCGCCGATTAAGAACGTCTTCTTCATTGATGGTGTTCTAGCCTTCCTCCGACATGGCGCGGCGTATCATGGACATCAATCCTGTTTCGAGCTTGGACTACTCACCCACGATCTCGATCACAATACTCATCGCATCGACATCTTCCCGTCTGAAATCGGCAAGCCAGGAACCACCCACACATTGTGGATGCTGAGAAAAGTGCAAGCGACTCGAGGCTTCTTCAGAGTCGACCACGAAGAGAGTTTCCTAGGCTTCACCTATCGCTCCGATCACCCGCTTACGAAACCCAAGCCCAAACCCAGCATCAGTCCAGCACATTTCCGCAGCGACAAAGATCTCATCACAGAACGATATACTGTCGAAGGAATTTTGAGCGGCAAAGCCGGATTGACTCCGGACCACTTCTTCGGCGAAGTCTTGCTGTACGTTGCGATGGGGATCAAGAATACAAACCTGCTGACGGAGAAAATCAATAATCTTCGTCAGAGTCCTTCGTCGCCGAAGTTGACGAATAACAACCTCACCAAGAGAATTACTGCCGCGCTCAAAGCTAAAGCTTGGCTTGAGGATCGCTCTGAAGATGAAGTTATGGATGAGTACGATATTATCGTACGTGGCAAAGTCAACACTCGTCGGAAGCAGATTCGTGATGGTACCTCGAGGAGAAGCAAAAAGCGTAAGGACGTCGTGCGCACCATAGTCGACAACGACGATGAGGAAGAGTTGATGGCAGAGATCTCGGAGGACGAGGAAGAGGAGGGGATGATGTTCGATGAAGAGGAGACCGCTGACCGTTCGAGCCCGAGTGGCCCACATGCTCGCCGTGGCCGCTCAAGTCGGCGCCAGGCTGTATCTTACGCTGAGCCAGGCTTTGAGAGCAGCGGGGACGAGGAGGACGAGGAGGACGAGGAGGGATCGGAGCAGGCGCGCAAGAGAGTCAAGCTTCGTAGGTCGATTGTTGAGTCTGATGACTCCGACGTATACGAGGATTGAGTGATGCTGAAGGCTGGCATTGGATCAGGCTGTTCACACAATCTTAAACGTAGCATGCAGAACAAAGTCTTGCCTCTCAGGACTTGTTTCACTCGGCATCCTGATCCTCCCAGAACACCAAAGTCCTGCCTCTCAGGACTTGTTTCACTCGTTATCCTGATCCTCCCAGAACACCAAAGTCCTCACCTCAACAGACTCCCTTGGCGGACCGTGATCTTCATCACAAGTAAAAGCCGTGTGCAAAGCCCTCCTGGCCACACCAGTCTTCTTCGAATCGAAGATCTTGATGAGAAGAGCTTCCTCGGGGTCCAACTTCGAGCAGTAATACCACTTGTGCTGATCCTCGCGAGACGGAGGTGCCAAGGACCAAGTCTCAACGTCATTCCTATTGTACGCCGCTCTTGTCACTGGGGTCAGATTCTCCTCGTCGCCAGGTCTCCTGAACCTCGCAATCACGGGCCTCAACTCGCTATCGTCGACCGAGCGAGCATCGCACATGGTGAGATTCTCCCTGGTCACAGTCTTGCCAATCGGACGCCAGACATTTATGATTGCCCAGCGTGTCTTGCTCAACTTCTCAGCTTCTTGAGGGAGGTAGAACTCCAATCTCGTCTTCGCGCCATCGTAGGAGTAGTCCACGTGGACATATCGAGCGGTCGTGGGAAGCGGTGTCCGGTCCATGTCCTGCATCGCTTTCGTCCTCTCGCGAAACTCATCCCAGCTTTGGCGTCTGCAGACATGGCCCATCACGTGTACACGGCTCGCTCCTGTCCTGCAACAGCGACTCAACACCGAGCTCTCTATCCTTGCCCGATGCGACTTACATCCTCTTCACCAGCTCCGCACATTCTGGGTAGTACAGCTTCTTGATCGTGTCGAGGTCAACGAATTCTTTCTCGGCGGAAGATTCCCTGACGTGCTGAAAGCCTTGCTTATCCAGATGGAACTCATCTTCGCTACCTCTTATGTCCGCAATCGGAACCTCCACATATTCGAACGAACGTCGCTTCTCCCCTGCCGTCCCAAACCAGAAGTCTTTGTGGCCACCTTTGGCGGGATCGAGGAAATAGCTGAGCGTTGATCTGACCACGTGCGATGGGCTTTCGACTTCAGCATGAGGCATGGCTCTTGTCGTCCACGAGACGTGCGGAGAGGGTACTGCCAAGGCTTTGCAGAGGACATGTATAGGTGAAGCATTCATCGCTAACTTACCGAGTGCCAGTGTTTCGCAGCAACCCCACTCTCCGGCGTACTGTAAGCTTTCACACGTGCCGAGCTTGTCGCTGCCGCTAGAGGCATGAACCTGGAGTGGTGGAAAGTTACGAAGATCAGCCGGCGCCGGCGCCAAGGCTGCTCCAACAAGGCTGCGAGGGGCTATATAGAGCTTTCAGTGCGCATCTCTACACAATATCATGCTGCTTTCCTCCCACTCCACGCAATGACTCTGTGCTTCCACATCCCTCATACCCAACATCGACGGAACCATTCATCCACCATTCAGCTACGTGAACCAATCCGATCCGGACAGCGAAAGTCGGCAAAGAATTCCACATCCCAATTCAAACCCGCCTCCGGGATAGGAGGTCTCATGGCCTCCCCTCTATCCTCAAAAAAGCGTATCAGCTCGGGAATGGCAGATGTATCAAAGCCCGTAAAAGGAGTATCATGCACTTTTTCCAAGCACATCGTCAAAGGTCCTCTATCGCGACCCTGCGGCCAGTCCTCCCGGGAGATATTCCGACCAAGCAGCTCAAGCTTTGTCCTTTCTGCAGAGGGAGGGTAGATCTGACCACCCGCCCAGTGATTTGATGTCATTCGATCATCGACTTCCAGGACGTTGGGTCCCTGAAGTGGAATATGCATCATCTTCATCGCGTAAATCATGTGTTTTCGAATATAATTTCTGGTCCAGACGAATTTTTCGGGGCAGAATTTACCTCGGACAGAAAGTAGAGTTTTGGCGACGATTTCTGCGCCGATGCCGTTTCGGATCCAGCGGATGAGAATCTCCTTGACGCATATACAGTCGGGGAAGAACGTCAGTAGCTCTTTTGTGCCGTACTCGATATCGTGGGGTAACTCCATGGTACGAATAGCGCTAGCTTGATGAAAAGTTGGTCGAAGCGGCTCCAGACCTCTTGGTGGAGACAGTACATGTATTGACTGACGAGGTCGACTGCCAGGATGTTCAGGATTGATTGCCGCTTGTGGGGTATCAGCCCGTGATAGCCTTGTCTTGTCTCTTTCGTCCGTCCTTTCATCACTCTTGCCTTCTGGCAACCATGCGCCTCCTTTGTAATGCTGCATGTCGAAATTCGAACAGCTTGTCTAGAGAAGAAGGACCTTTTCTGCTGGACGATTCGTAAAGATGGTCGACCACGCTTGAGTGAAACATTCAAGTTCCGATTCTTCTCCCGAAAGGATGCTCTGCAAATCAAAGTTGTGGTTGGTCGCTCGCCCAGAACCGCGTCAAACGAAGGAGGTGACCTTTTCTTGAGAACGCGAAGCAAGAGCATTGCCGGTCGCTGGAAGGAGCTTGTTTGCTGCACCCTTCGAACCTGTCTTCAAAGACGCAGCCTTGTGATGCCGCACACTGCAAAGGATCGGAAGAGGAGAATCAAAGAGAACTCGCAGCCATCTTTCTCCAAGCTATATTTTCGCGTCCATCATCCTCGCAACTCCAATAATAGTTTGATCCCGTCAAGCAGTAAGTTGCATTATTTACATGCACAGGCCGAGGCGTTGGCTCTTGGCCTCGTGCGCCTTTTTTTGGCATGGAAAACAGCTCGCTATTGGTAGTACGGGAACCTGCGAGAGTGTAAGTGCTGGGCTGAGCTGCAGTGTTATAGTGTAAAAGCTGTGACAGTCGCCAACCCATGCAACTACTTTTGTAGATAGTGAAGCTGCCGAGCGCTGAGAATTGATGCATTGTGTTGTGGTTCTGACAACTCCAGAATGTTTGTTGCTGACAGTAAGATCTGAGCGAGCTAGTTTCCAATGGCGCGAGTACCTCCTGCTCCTGCCTCCTTCCTTTGTCCGCAAGCGGTAGGTTCGAAGGCATGGAAACGTTTCTTTGTCTTTCGGTATCCTGAAAGTGTTCGAGCATTGTAACTTGGCGAGTCTGGGGACAAAGATCTATGACCTTTGTAGAGCTGGTCTGCCGGACGCTGAGCCGGGGCAAGACTAGGGCCCAGCAATGACCACGACCTTTTCGTCCTGCGAACCAATATCGCTGACATGATCGTATCTCGCTCCATTAGCATCGTGAGTTGCATCCCAATCGTCGACTTGACTCAGAGGCACCTTGACCAATACGTGTGTCTGCGCGCCGTCTCCGAGAAGAAGCAGCTCTTGACGCATCTTGTATCCTCGAAGCTTCGGCAGAACGATAATCCAAGTGATGTAGTAGATTGTGCAGATGACCAGAATCGAGATTCCGACGACAATATACGTCCCATACCAAAAGGAAACATCCCCGCCGTTGGCACCGCCCGTCGGTGGATACCACGGCATAATGATGAGGTAAAGTTGAACTGCGATGTTGAACACGAGGACCACATTCCAGGCCTTAAAGGTCGGCCTCGGTAAGCCCAGTTTTCCGCGATGGTACCGCAGAACGTAGATACCAGCTGCCATGAGCAGGTTGAACACTGAGCTTGGATAGATCTGCAAGTCAGTGATGAAACTGAACGCGTCTCCGGCGGGTGGAGCCAGAATCATGATGATGGTCAATGCCCACCTAAAAGCAATGGGTGTAAGCGTCAGCAATGTTCCAACCATGCTCGCTCCGAGACAAAGTTACGGTGTTTGACACCGCTGCTTTAGTCGTACACATTTGCTCGGAGTCATGGCTTATGCGCAAGGGTATACTCACTTGACAAGATACGGGCCTGCTGGCGTCCCGAAAGGCTTTGTAGATGCCCAAAACGATGGCCAAGGAAGCACACCTGTCCAAGGAGATCCTCGATCAGCATTGTGCCCACTAGAAATAAAATTCTCAGCTCACTTACCTTGACGACCACACTCACGGATGACTCGTGATGACCCAAGGAGAACTGCAATAAGATTTCCGAAGGAGCTGAGCGCGATCAAGAAGTTCAGTCCACGCACAGCGCCGTGGCTGCCGAAGACTTTGGTGAACAGCAGGCCTGCAGCGATCTCCTTGCCGGCAATGATCTCTTCCTTCGGGATGGCGGCGAAGAATGCAATATTGACGAGAATGTAGAGGACTGCGACCAGTGTGACAGCGGCAAATCCATAGTTTCGGATTCTCTTTACAGGGTTCTTGACTTCATTGACCACGTTGAAGGCGTTCTCATACTGGAAACGTGGCGGTCAGCATTTTGTTCTCGCAAGAAACGTCAGTTTTTTGACTCTTACGCCAGCATCTGCAGAATCGATTAGCATAGAGCGTTGCAATATGATTGATTACTACTAACAAGCGAATATGATTTTGTACATCGCGTTTGTAACGCCATAAGGCGACGCTTCTCCATCGAAAGCATTCTGGAAGTTCAGCTTGGGACTTTTGATGCTGGTATGGCCACCTAAAACGACCAGTCCAGTAATGGCAATAAATACCAGCGTGACGAGCTTGATCGCTCCAATGGTGTTGCTTGCAATGTAAGAAAACCTCGTGTGGAAGATCACGAATAGGACCGCGATCGTGTAGCAAGCTATTGCCAGTCCTTTGATCTCCCAATTGGACGGCTTATGGTCTCCGATTGCGAAAAGGTATCGAGCCATGACCACAGCGTTACCGCTAGAGAACGAAAGTATCACAGACTGGATAGCAAACGTCGTAGGAAAGAACCATTTGGGTCTTGGGTATGCCTGTTCCAAGTATGCGACTTCAGATCCGGATCGAGATGGAAAGTATGCGGCGTATTCGAGGTAGACTGAGAGCGAGGACATGGAAGTCAAAAGTCCGATGAACCAGAATATGAGCGAGAGTCCAACAGATCCTGTACCTCTCAGGATCGCCGAAGCTAGCCATGGATGTCAGCTAATCCGTGAGATCTCGAAAAGCACTGATGTCTTACGAGTTGAAAAGATACCAGTGCCTACCATCTTCGACAGATTGAGAAACACGATGGTCACTGGCCCGACGCTGTATCCCAAAGGTGACTGCACCTCAACCGGAGCTCCACTTGTCTCTTGGTATCCGACAGGTGCATCATTTCCACCTTGCTGTCCAACGTATTTCCGATCACCATCAGAGACTTGAACATCGCCGCTGGCTGTGACCGATTGAACAGTCGAGCTGTTACGGTCTCCATCGTTGTTGGGTTTGAATCTGTTTCGAAAGAGAGCCGACATTGTGACGATGCCGTGTAACAATATCCAATCCTCGCGGGCCAAGGAACCGAGGGCGGATGTCTGTGTAGTAATGGTACACGTAGGGCGTGTGGTGGCAGGTCTACATATAAACTGCCGGGAAGTCTACCGCGTCTTGAGTTTGCAAAGTGCTGCCACAGTAGTCAGCACTTGAGTTCAGATTTCGACATAGCACGCCATCGCACAAGCTCGCCAACAAACATGGATATGCGATACGATCTCCACCAAGACACATGGCTCCCACGCGAGGATGCCACGCAGACGAGGTCAAGAACGCGCAATCGCTGTTTCAAGCCCTTGGCGCGAGTCTTGAGTTACAATCAAACCACATATGAGGCGTTTGACGGCTGTCCTTGCGTATGCCTCTGTACCCACCAACGCTCCGCTCAGCTTTGCGCCATATGGGATGAGAAAACGCAAGGCGAATGTATTCAATTTTGCATCTGGGAGGTCGACTGCAACTGCAGGTCGCAGCAAATATTTCAGGTAGGTGGCAGACTTTTCAAGAGACTGCACGACATGAAGAGTTGTGGTTCTTGGCGATTTCGTTGAAATTGGTCCATTCGACTTATCTTAGGTTGGTGCAAATTCCTGAACAGCTGATGCCATACTACATTCATTGCACAGGCTTCGTCTTACCAGCACTCGAGCTTCGAATTCTTGGCTCAAGTGGGAATATAGAGTTCTCTGGTGTCACGTTGCCATAAACATGATCCCAGCGACCTTGCAGTGCAGCTGGAGTCGGCCAAGCGTGTTCGGGGTCTCGCAGCCAGAGCCGAATGAGATGACGCCTTCAGAATCGTTAGTTAGATCAGAGCACGCATGGGAGTTGACTTAAGCCTTACTGCTGCTCTGGTGTGTCCTTGAAAGCGTCCCGAGCGTGGAAGATACTGAGATTGTTGGCGTATTGCACATCGCCCTTTTGGAAGTCCAGAGTCACAGCATGCTTCTCTGCGAGAAAGTGCAAGGTGTCAAGAGCTTCGGCCTGTGCTTCCGTGATAGGCGGAATGTTCTCAGAGCGTGGCAGGCCCCAGTAGCCTGTGAATGTGCGTCTTGCATATTGAATGATCATTCGTTCTGGCGTAGATGCGCTCTTAGGAATGTAGTGAAGCAATGGTCGCAGCGAGTACTGCTGGCCTTGGCCGGAGAAACTGGCACGATATCAGTATGGAGCTATCGGTCTTCGTCAGTAGACATACTTCTCCGCAGCCCAGGGCTCGGCTAGGGTCCGAATCAGGTCGGGACGCGTTCGAGCAAGTTCGTTGTAGACAGTCCACGAGCTGGAAAGCTTACTCTCGCCTCCGGATGCCGCAGTCTCGAGACAAGCCAAGGCAATAATGTCTCCAGCATCTGAGATAGACCGCACGCGTAAGCATATGTTCAAAGCTGAGAATCGAGGCCAGCGTACGACAACTGAGCGTCGTCATGACACATAAAGTTGTCGTGCGTGAGGCCTCAAGAGGAGACGAGATGCTGCTTCAAGAACGACTTACCAGTATGGAAGACCTGCTTGTCTGTGGTATATGCTGGCGAACCGATTTTAGAAGCTTCTACACTTGCGCTCATGTCCTTGACATGGTTCAAGACAACATCGGCCGGTCTGCCTTCAAATTGATGGTCTTGCCGGCCCCTGATTGATGCAACATGACTAGATACACCGGCGTAGATGATGACATTCTCTTCACGCGTATGTTTCGCGAAGGGGAGGCCACGCAGCACTTTAAAGCCGCGACCATTGTGGATCTCATTGGAAATTTCCCGAAGAGCATGATGCAGTTGAGGAAGCGGGAAAGTGTCCTGGTCAATGAATCCGAGAGGCTTGTTCAGAGCTACACCATTGTTAGCATTGGGCCCGACTTGTGTCCCAGCTTGATGTACATTTGAAATGCTTCAGCCCGGCTTCGATCTCGTCGAGTTCAGCCCCATTCAGCTCGTAAACAACGTTGTACTTCTGAGCAATGTCTTTGCCGTCCCAGACCAGGTCCGATACCAGTTCCTTCGGAAAGCCTTCTGGCAAATCATGTGACAGCTGCTCGGTGGCTCTCCGACGATTGACGCGAGCGAGATACTTGTCTAAGTCTGGAGCATAGCCGATATCAGGCTGACCTGCGGGGCCGGGTCTGATGGCCTGGGCTGTCGCCATTGCGAGGCAGAGATGAGGAATGGGAGAAGGTGGTGATGATGGTGATTCATGATGTCTGAATGGTTTGCGTGTTGCACATATAGTAGACAAGCCAAGCTTTTTCACGCCATACTGCGAGAAATCGCGTCAAGGTTCGGGCGGGGCGGGGCGGGGCGGGGCGGGGCAGATACTATGTGCTGAGTCCAACTTGTCAGTGCCGGTGCGGGGAGAACCCTGCACCTCCGAGAGAGGAACCACACCGCCATTTTAGTGGTTTTTGAATTATTTGTTCTCCTTCTGAGGCCTATAGTCCTCCAATATATGGTAGATATCGTGTCGACGGTTTTCTAGTAGTATAGACCCTTCCGAGGTATTGTTGTCGTCCGCTATAGTAAAGAAAGCGCGTATTAACGACGACTAGCAAGGCTAACTGATCAATCTCTTTAAGAAGGGCTTTACTGCTAAGTAGATACATGCCTTTATAAAGCTTCTAATATTAGTCAGATCAGTATATCGCTATTAAGAGAGATATCGCATAACTAGAGCGTTATATCTAAAGAATACTAGCACTCGGCGTAGCTATAAGAACCTCTAACTTCTCGCTATAGAAGAGGAGTTTATACTCGGGTATCTCGACGATCGACCGGACGTATACTTTATAGAGATAATCCAAGCTCTTTAAGACGAATTTATACGGCTACGGCTAGTAAATAAGGGCGGAAAGGGTATAGTAGAGCTTCGGCCGTCTCTAATCGGTATAGTGTTGAAAAGGCACGGGTATACTTAAAAGGAGGTAAAGCGGGCGGCGAAGGAACGTAACCCGTTCTTAAGGGCTCTATAGACGATTAGGTACGCTAAATAGCTAGTAGATCGACTAGTATTTATCGACGAGACTACTAGCAATTAGAAGACAGGTTAGCGGAAGTATAGCTAGAGTCCAAAGGGTATTACATACTTAGATCTCTAGTATGCGAAGCGAGAAGTACGGTAGAGTGTGCTACCGGCCTTTACGGTTTATAGCTACTTGCTATATACCTGTATATACTAAGGATCGATTAATGCTAACCGTTTCTATACTTGGATTACTAAATAGGTGCTTCTATGTCTCGAAGAAGGTCCGCTAATGATCTTTGTAATAGATAATGCTAGTATTCACTATAGATTGAGGATTAAGTAGGCGATTCTCGATGCTAGATATCGACTCGAGTACTTACCGCCGTATAGTCCGGATTTGAACCCTATCGAGGGCAGTTTCAATCTGCTAAAGAAGACTATTAAAAGACACAGAAGTTAGCTGCCGAAGTTCTTTGGCTTTTAAGATTACTTACTATATTGTCTGCACCTATATCGAGGCCACCGCGCGCGTAAACTCTTCGCTTATGCTAGATATAATGTCGAAGGGGTAGATTTGCCGTACGACGCTTCGCAATTCGAGTCGACCGCTAGTAACGCTTAGAATATAATAGCACTCGACCCGGAAGAGTCCTAATAGATACAATAGGCTCAGAACAATAAGCCGTTAGTGCTAGATAATATAGAAGAGCTATGTGTGTTATATAAAGAAGATAATAAGGAAGATAAGGAACAAGAGGTAGATTTTGACGACTTTGAGTAATATAACTAGTAGCGACTAGCGCGCGGCAAGCGCCGTAGGTAGAGATTCGAATAAATATGTTCGAACGCTAGCTTTGCCTATCGCGCTTAGTATTCTACAACTAACGTAGTATATTGATCAATTATATATAGGCTAAATAAGTGCTATTACCGCAAGAATCTCCCGCTTATTACAAGTTTATATGTATTGTGGATGTACAAAGATTATAGCCTGAACGAAGCTAAGAATTCTTAGAAATCCTCTCCCTCCTTAGCGGCGGCTACTTCCGCCGCTATAATCTTATCCTATTTCTTCCTTATAAACTCGACGATAGCTTTCTTCAATCTTAACCTTATTCCATCTACTTTATTAAGTGCCGCCGGCTAGTCGTCCTTTGTTAAGTTGCAGATAGTCTCTAGCGTCTAGCCTATGCCGACGAAATAGGCGATATAGGGCCGTAGATAGTCGTAGTCCTAGAAATCGCGGTAAAGAGATACCTAGTCGAAGAATTCTACCGTTAGCTGTTCGCACTAGACGATATTGCGCGGCAGCACAACATTACGCAATCCAGTCTTAATAAGCGCTCGTCTAGGCGTACGAGAAGGCGTACCTAGAATAATACCGCTGCCTCGCAATTTATTGTCGATAATGCGGCCGAGATCGTTACTAAAGTTGTTAAGGATAATCGGCTAAATTCTAGCACTTCTAGGCTTCCGAGGGGAGTTAGACTCACTACTACGGCGACCTCTTATCTTCCGGATAGTAGTCTTCTATATATTATTCTCGACCTTTCTCTTAATTAACTTAATCTCTAACCTTACCGGCAACCTATCTTCGAGAGCGCTAGTTTGCTCGTCAACTTTCTACTCTCCGGAAGCTATAGCCTTATAGCTATCGATTATAGCGGCTTCGAAGAACGGAAAGTGATTCTCGCTACAATCCTTTAGCTTCCGGTTACGCTAGCACGTATACTTACTAGCCTTCTAGAAGTTACTATAGTCCTTTGTCGCATATAGAAAGTCACGGATAATCTAATAGTCGTACCGCTTCTAAGTCTCGAGTTCAGCTATTATAACGCCGGCGTTAGCAAGCTGAATTGAGGTTGGATTAGAAGCCGGTTTAACTAACTTCTTGCCGCCTAAAGATCTAGCTGCTACTGTCGCTTTAGGCTTCGTAAAGAAGTTAATATTAATAAAGACATTCTTGCGCGAGGCAAGCGCTAATCCTTTGCTAGTATCTAGAGCTTCACTATAGACCTCGTCGCTATTAATATTATCTCTAGCTTAATGCTAATCGCTAGTAAACGCCGTCTTCTAACCGTCCGCTCTAGTACGGATAACGATACGAGTAAATGCCGCTAAGCTATATAACTTCGCTATCTTCGCTGCCTACGCGTATCCGTTCCAAGCTTCTTATTTGTTAGCCGATAAAAACTTTACCGGCTTCGTTGCTATCGTCCGCGCCGCGCCCTTCTTCGTTATATTAAATATAGTCTACTATCCTTTATAATAGAAGGTCTCGTTTAAGAAAGAGCTAGGTTGAGTAATAGGAACGTTGCCGGCGGTAAGCGTAGCCTAGCTGCTAGCAGCAGTAGCGGCCTCCTACGCGGTATTAAAAGAGGAGGATATAGAGGTCGTAGCGGAGGAAGAAACAGCCGTTTTTAGTAGCGCTATACCGCTATTATCCTCTGCCGGTAGTGCTACGGTCTCCTTGTTTAGTAGACCCGAGGGATCAACGATTGGGTTAGGCTCTTCTACGGTAGTCGCTTTACCCTTCTTGCCGCCGGAAGACCTACTCTTCGAGCTACCCTTTGCCTACTAAGCCGTATTAGCATTCCGTCTAATTAGCGGCGGACTAATAGCCTTCTCGAGAGTATAGATTACCTTCTTTAGCGTAGAGACAATCAATTCGTCGTCTAATCGCGCTAGAGGTACGCCGGCAGTCGTACGAGTCGCTCTTATCGGCATTATTGTTGCAGTATAGCACTCGGAAACAGTCAGAATACGCGTACGGGGCTCGAATATACGATTATCCTCTACTCGACGACGACAATTGGGAAGAAACACGATAAAAACCACGTAAAAGTGCCCCTATTGCCTACCCCTATGCGGCTCAAGAGAGGAGGCGGCTCTGCGGACCGTACTGACAAGTTGGACTCAGCACATAGTAGTGGAGCCGATCCGTTCCGGGCCGGAGCTTGGGCCGCGGCTTTTGAAAGCATGGCATCTCTCGCTTCCCCGCGTTCGAAGATTAACAACCACATCCACATACTGTAGTCTTCTGATGGCGTGCTTTGACGCTCTATAAGATGCCGATGGCGTTATACCGACAACTCCCCGGATAGAGCTGACGTTGGTGATGGAGCCCTTTGTATACCCGCATCAAGAAAGCTGCTTGGGATGAACAGCACCGTATCTGGAGGAACGACCAGAGCTATAGGAGAAGCTATACAACTCCGCTGGATTTGGAAAATGGCTAGGCGTCTTCTCCGACACCTACACAGACCGCGAAGCGAATACAGTGTATTGCAAGTATTTCTGCTGGAGAGGACCTTAGCCTCACGGAGGCACGTGTCGGCCTCATGCGGCCCACTTGCCATTACTTGCTACTCGCAGTGCTGCGGACTGTACGTTCTCGACTCACTGCTATCTTTCTCAGCCTCGTGACGGTTCAGAAACACCTGCGGCTTTAGTCTGATGATCATTGAGAAGAGCTGACACCGGCTTGGCGAAATATTTGCCCCTGTCTTTGATCTGCTTTCCTCTTCCTCTACCTCAAGGCGATGCAAGTTGCTGTCCCCCTTCTCGATTCAGTCGATATGCTCGTTGCCTCCCTTGCAAAACGCCGCATCTGTACAATGTCGAATGCAGCTCCACGCGATGAAAACTGCGGTTCGTGTAACGTGACACTGCGTGCTCGCCCGTGCTACGTCAGGTGCCAGGTCGATAGGCTTGCATCCGTGATGTATGTAGCTTTTTGGCTGCGCACAAGACGGACCTGCGCGGCACTAGAACTCTGTGAGCATTGTCGAATGCATTAGACAAGGCAGCTTCCGTCTCCTGAGCCACTATCGCTGTCCACAGCACGAACAAAGACCTGGAACGACAGGCGCGTCCTCTTGCCTACCCGACACAGGTGGTCTGATCGCAGCCCACGCTACAGCCTCGAGCTGAAACGTGCAGAATATGGAGCCAGCATCCAATATCTTCAGACTGTCCCCCTATAGCACTTCCACTGTTCTTTGCTCTTCAAACACATCCCTTTCAGCTTATGCCAAACCTAGATATGGCGTCGAGGACAGTCTCCGGCACCTTCATCGACCGAGACAAAACTAGTGGCATTCCTCTGAAGCCGTCCGACCACGCTTATGCTGCCAGGGAGAGAGATGATACTTCTGCAAACCCCAGGATCAGCAGGCCAGTGACATTGATTCGACCAGAATACGAGGTTGTTGTGATCGGATCTGGCTATGGAGGCGGAGTTGCAGCAAGTCGTTTTGCTCGAGCCGGCAAGTCAGTCGCCGTTCTGGAATTCGGCCTGGAGAAATGGCGTATGTGGATAAATTCTGGCTTTGTTTGCTGTGATGGCTCAAGCTAATTCATCATGTTGAAAGCCGGTGAATATCCAAGTAGCCTGCTGGAAGCCGCACCCGAATTGCACGTCTCTGGCAACATAGGCCAAGACGAGGAGCCAGTCGAAAATATATCTCTGGGAAGACGGACTGGCTTGTACCATTTGATCTTAGGAGAGGGCCAGAATGCTTTCGTTGCCAATGGTGAACTTGTCTCTCAAATACGATCTGGATGATGCTCACGATGCATAGGACTTGGTGGGACCTCCCTGCTCAATGCCAATATATTTCTCCGTGCAGATGAGAGGACTTTGAGCATGAATGAGTGGCCAGTCGAGATACGAAATCAAAAGGATTCTCTAGCGGATTGTGAGTGCTCGATGGTCGCAATGATGCGGTACTGTACTGAAATGACCAGACTACAGCCGTGCAGAGCGGATGCTACAGCCGTCGCCATACCCTGATTCCTACCCTCCTCTAAAGAAGCTCGAGGTTCTGGAGAAGCAAGCAAAAGCACTTGGGTTTGAGAACAACTTCTACCGCGTTCCTCAAACCACGTTCTGGGAAGAGAAGCGCAACAATGCTGGGGTTGAAATGAAGGCTTCGACTTCCTCCGGACAGGATTGCACTGGAGTAAACGATGGTTCGAAAAACTCAGTGTTGATGAATTATCTGCCTGACGCGTGGAATTGGGGAGCGGAAATCTTCTGCGAGTGTGAGGTCAGGCACATTCAGGTGCATCCAAGCGGACGAGGCTATCTAATATTTTTCGCATGGCATGCAGATGGAAGGGACAGCTTCAAAGGTGCATTTCACGACCAACTAATGTGGGTGTGGGCGGTAAGTCATGCTAGTAGCTTACCAATTGCAGCAACCACTGATATCAGCTATCAATAGAAAGAGTTCTGCTTCCTTGGAGCTGGGGCACTAGGAACCACCGAGATCTTGCTTCGCTCGCAGGCTCATGGCTTGAAAGCATCTCCGCTTGTTGGACAGAAGCTGAGCGGCAATGGCGATACGCTCTGCTTTGGCTACAATACAGACGAAATTGTAAATGCCATCGGCAAGGAGCGATCTGATCAGGACAATCCTTGCGGGCCTACCATCACCGGAGTCATCGACAATAGACATCCCAAGACTTCGCCAGAGGTACTCGATGGTTACGTGATCGAGGAAGGTGCGATTCCTCAATCACTTGGATCTCTCCTACAGCCCATGCTTGAGCTAATGCCAGGCAACCGGTATCTCACCCCGTACAACAGCTGGCGCCATTTCGCATCTCGGATGAGGTCTCGTCTCTTCGGGCCCTATGCTATCGGAGGCAGTGTCAACCGCACGCAGACTTATTTGGTCATGTCTCATGATAGCAATGAGGGGATCATGACACTCTCCGGCGACAAAGCTTACTTGCAATTCTTGGGTGTTAGCAATACTAAGCATGTTGCTTCTCTGGAGGACGTCCTTAGGAAGGCAACCAATGCCATTGGCGGCACTTTGATCAACTCGCCTTTCTACGCAGGTCTGTGACTGGCACACTTAACAATTATCACGCTGACATTCTCAAGCTTTCAACCAGCGTGAACAGATCACAGTCCATCCAATCGGAGGCGCCAAGATGAGTTCTGACGGTACTGGACGATCGGGTGCGACCAACCACTTAGGCCAGGTCTTCAAAGGTGAAGGCGCGGAGAGTCATGGTGGTCTTATATGCGTCGATGCATCTGTGATACCAACCGCTCTGGGTAAAGGAACTGCTCATCCCCTGGCATGGCATCCTGCTAACATATGAGCTAGGCGTAAATCCATTCGCAACTATTACTGCCCTCGCCGAAAGATCCTGCTCGTTGCTTTTAAAGGAGTCCAATCTCGTCGAGGATGAGAGTTCCAACGGTAATCTGGACCTTCGTGGATTCCCTCGGAAAGTTCATGAGATGAATCTCAGCCAAATTCAAGAGGTAAAAGCGATCAAAGATGCGACAAGTCAGCGTGGAATCCGTTTCACCGAGATTATGGATGGGTACGTCGATGCTGGAAGTGAAATCGACGATTTTGTGGTTGCATACAAACGAGCAAAGGGTTCCTCGAGCTCAGCTAGTCTGTATGTCACTATAGATGCTTACAGCATACAGAACCTGGTCGAGCGAGACGATCACGCTTCAGTAGCGACCGGTACATTGGCATGCGCAGCTCTCTCAAAGGACCCACTCATGATACAGTATGGAGACGTCCAATTCTTCACACAGGACGAGACTGTTTCCGATGCCGAAAACTTTGCCTACAAGCTCACTCTTCTGAGCACAGAGGGCAAGACCTACTTCTTCTACGGCTACAAGAAGATGGACTCATCCATGACGCTTTCTGTACGGAACACTTGGAAAGCGACAACAACGCTATACGTGACCATCACGAATGACGACGGTTCGATAGCTGGTAGAGGTATCATGACCATCAGTTGGCGAAACTTTGTGTCCCAGCTGGAGAGCTTCGGGTCGACAGGAGAGCCAACAAGCCTTGCCGACAAGCTATTTGCACCTCTGAGGTTTGTCAGCTTCTTCGCGCAGAACACGGCCGCCTACTTCTTCAGTCCCTTTCGCAGCCTGCAAAGACCGATCAACGACACTTCAGGATTTCTCAAGAAAGCAGCTCCAGCTCGCAGTGTGATTCTGACCGCGCAAGATGACGTGCAAATCTCGATGAAGGTGTGGAATCCTCAGGAAGGCAGGACCAAGCACACTATGCCGCTGCTGTTCGTTCCAGGAGCTGCTGTGAACGAGACAGTCTTCTCACTGCCAACAATCCCCATCAACACGATCGATTACTTCACCGACCTCGGCTACCGGTGTTACGTCGTCGTTCCACGATTCGGGATTTCCAAGACAGCGTATTTGGGGTATACAGCTTACGATGCTCGATTGGACATTCAAGCTGCGGTTGAATATATCCGTCAAGAAGAAAGCGGTGTGAAGCCATACATCGTCTGCCATTGTCTTGGATCCATCGCCACAGGCATGGCTTTACTTACTGGTGCAGTAGATGTGAGATCTATACGTGGAATGACCTCGAGCCAAGTATTCACCAACCTGAGATTTGGTAAAGTCAACGCTCTGAAATCTAGCACTCAGCTACTCACACAACTATACGAGGTTCGTAACAACGCTTTAGACTTGTTGACTTTGCGTCTTCTCACTAAACAATCCCATGTAGAGACTTGCCGGCTCCTGGTTCCCATGCAGCACGACTTCATCTTCCTCTCGCCTCGTCCAAAACCTCCTCGACCAGATCCTCCGCCTCTATCCCGTAGGCAGTGCAGACGAGATCTGCAATTCCAGCGTCTGTCATCGAGGAAGTCTTGTTTTCGGCCGTCTCTGGCAGCACGCCAACCTCAACCGCGCAACTCATGCTCATCTGAACAAATTCCTCGGTGGCATCCACATGAACTTCCTCTCCCATCTCATGCGCATGGGCGCCGACTCACCACATCATCCACGGAGCAACGAGCCGGATTTTGTAGACTTGGTCGAGGATTCTGGGAACTTACAGAGATTGAAGGGCTTGAGGATACAGTTCATCAGTGGGGGAGAGAACGTGGTGTTCTCGCCTTTGAGTACGAGTGAGAGCTATGACTTGTTGAGGGATGCTTTTGGTGAGGATGGATATGTGAGAGTCGTGGTTGATGGGTATGGGCATCTTGATACTTGGATGGGCAAGGCTAGTTTTAGAGACGTCTATCCGCGCGTGCAGTGGCACATTGAGGAGTGCGAAAGGCTTGATACGAACCTGTGAGAAAGAAGTGGCATTACTAATGGAGAACCCATTATTACATCTTTTTTTTTCTTTTCAAAGCTCCACCTCGAGACGAGGCTGAGCATCGTGCTAGTTCTAGCGTGTCATGAGCGCGCTCTAACAAGGTTTAATGAGTTGACATCGAGCACGTCCACGTCCACGATTCAGACGCGTTGCTATCGTGTTGATTTATAGACAGCACGACAGAACTCTGACAAGAACATGGCCAAAGTCATGGCGTCTCAAACCCTGCAGGGAGCGTCTGCTCATCCAACGCTCAGCTTCGATCCGCTTGCACGGATTGCGTGGTTAGCACAGCAGAACCAGATACTATTCAATGATGGTGCCAAGCAGTACGCTGAAGTGCAACGACTGTCAAGTGAGAATCAGCGGTTACAGGATGCCATTTCTCTGGATACCACAGTCTCGCAGCGGATAATTGGAAGCCTCTCTACGGACGTCGCCAATTTGACTAGGCGCGTGCAGGACCAGCATGGAACCATTGCTTCTCAGAAGGCTCGGATCGATCGGCTCGTTGCTGAGAGAGATAAATTGCTATCCTCTACGGAACGTGGAAATTCAAGCTCGCAATTGCAAGATGTGAAAAGTCAATTACAGAAGGCCGCCAATGTACGTGTGGAGGGCTACAAAAGGTTGAGCGAGAAACGTAGACTGGATAATGCCGAACTCGAGAAGAGGATTGCGGATCTTGAGACTGAAAAGGCAATGCGTTCGAGCAAGAGGTCGAGGAATTTGGTATCCTTGGACAGCGAGGACGAGTTCATGTACCCCAGGAAGAAGCTCGCCACCAAGTTCTGCTATGACAATCAGTATGGTGGCGAATCCTGGACTCAAGTCAGTGACACCGAAGATGATGCCTCCGGGCTCAGAATTATTCCCACAGAGGTCGCCCAGAGGATGGAAGAGCTTTGGAGGCGCAACATCTACCAGGACACGAGGCTCGAACCTGGGGCATTCGAATGGCTGGAAGAATGGTGTGTGGACAATGCGGATCGCATTGAGCAGCGGCGAGCAAAAGAGCGGGTTGAAAATCAGTCTGAGGCGAGGAAAGTGGCCAGGGAGAAGGTGGATATTGAGGACGAGATTAGCAAGCTAAAAAGGCGCTTGGCTGAGCAGATTAAGAAGAAGCGAAGCATCAGGAGAAAGCTCATCGTGCTGAGCGATGAGCAGAGGCTGGACGCAAGTGAAGGAATGGAAGTGGGTAAGAAGCTGTACCTGTTCTGCAAGACGATGGGATATCCTCAATACGACTTCAGAAGGGCCCACTTCGAGTTCGTGAGGAGTGAGACTGAACTCGTCAGGTGAGTTTGAAGCAATCGCTACTGTAGTCCATTTCGCCTGGCAGTGGCGTGTGCTGACTTGCTTCTTGAAGGATCTATCACCAGGTCATGAGCGCCATGAGGATTCTGTATCAGGACCTTGTCGAAGAACCGAAGAAAGCCGACAAGAAGTTCAAGCATCGCAATCCTTCGCCGACGAAGTGGCAGGTATTATTGTATTGGCCGGAGCCAGACTCTCCAGGCGAGCAGAAGTATCCACTTGAAGAGCAGTATGCCAGTAACGCAAAGGATGCGAGGATGGCTTGTACCGCGCTGCAAAACTTGTTGTACTCCTGGCAGCAAGGATATCTTTCATGATCAGAGGGTGTATACTGTAGCTCTTTCTGTGCCGCGGGGTCTACAGTAAAGGCCCAACAATAATGTGACAGCTCAGGAATAATAGTGGCGACCGCGAACATGGCATCTGTGCAATGACGGGGCTTGTCACATCCTCTGCCGTTTTCAATTCGCCCCAGCTCTTGCTGTTCCACCACAGCTTCAGGTTGGTGCTCCATTCCTCCTTTCTTTGAGTGGACACAAGCTCTTCATTCATTCAGCGAGCGGCAGTAGCGGGTGGTAGGAAAACTAGCTCTACATTTCAACCACAAAAATGACCCGAACGACGATCAGAATCCTGCGTCTCATTGGTGAGTTCCCTTCTGGTATGTTTTGACGTTGATCGAGAAAGAGGTGCCGAAAGGATTGCTCGGAACTTGGAACTTGGAAGGTCTCGGTCCCGACTCCCGAGACACAGTGCAGGAAACGGAGTGAAGTCCTGCTTCTTAGTCATCTGAGGGTAATTAATATTCTCGAGCTTTGATCCAGGACACCGAGAAGTCGGACATCTTCTACCTCAGAACATGCTCGACTTCATACCTGAGCAAAATGCCGGTCAAGATCTCGTTATTTCTCAGGCGACTCGATTCTAACAATTTAGATCGCCGATAATGCGAAAGTACCAACAATGCGAGCAACGTCGTCTCCTTTCGGCGTCCGAATATCATCAATGAACCTGGAGTAGCTCCATAATGCCTCGACATCGACCGATGCGGCTAGAGAATGTGTCGCGGACACCGAGCCCAGGCCCTGAAATCTTGTCTGGGCATCACAAGGTGGTTAGAGGAGATACGGCCGCAAGCCATGTGCACTATGGCTCAGGAGCAAGACATGTGTGTCGCAAGAGCTGTCGGTGGCAGCTACTTGCATCTGAACATCTGTTGCTGAAACTGTATGGTTCTGAAGACAGGGGGCGACAAGTGACTTTCTAAGCTGCACGGAAAGCGACACACGGCTTGTCGGATTGAGTCTTTTGCAGTATCAATCTTATTCCTCGAAGCTTTGGGAGGGAGACGGGATCATGCGAAGTCGTCTGCTTGATAAAGTAGCGAGTGGATCAAACGCAGAAGGACAGGTGAAGCGGAGAACAATGAACATCAAGCAGTTGATCGATGCTGGTCCGGGCTGATATGCAGCCTGAAAAGCGCATTGACGTGCACAGGTAAACGGATGTAAAGCCTCACCAATGCGCGGCAACGTGCGAGTTAGAACCGATGCATGATATGCTGTCCAAAGAGTCGCTTGCACGGAGACCGCGAGATTGCATGGCGTAGCAGAAGCGAGTGGTTCTCGAGATGCATTACAGCACCAGCGTTGCCAAGGGAGACATCCTAAACCTCTTTTCTCTCGCCACCTACATTTCTTCATCTGGAGCCTTGCAGAACGCCCATCGTCCTTGTCGAAATCAGGCAATTTGTCTAGACCGGGAGAGGCGTGTCCAGCCAGCTTGGCACGAGATCAAGCTGCATCCAGAGGCAGGAAGGGTGTATTCTACACTGTTCCTACTATCGCAAGAAATTCGACAAAGCTGGCAATACTTCCATCGGGATCTCAACTCGAACTGCTTCCTCCTCGTATCACAATGCAACATCTCAAGCTGAATGGAATATTCTAAACCCTCGATCTCGCATGCAAGTGGCTGGCATCTACCTCTCCCGTGCGCCGTGGCGATCAGCCCAGAAATTCTCGATCCCGTCCCGTCCACAAACACCTATTCAGGCAGCCAAGCACAGAAGAAGAAGAAAAAAAAAAAGAACGCCATGTGGCAGGCATCTCGATTCCAGAACAAAAAAAAAGAAAATGCTTTTCCCGTGCCGTGTCGCGTGGTAGCCAAGACGCTACCTATTATTCTATTCTACCCGGTACTTGGATACTACTAAAACAATAGGTATAATATTGCATTTCTTCTGCAGCTAGCCACAGCCAATTCACGGCTTGTCCGAATGGCTTGTGGCTGTTATTAAGCCTTTGAAAGCACGCGGAAAGTATATTTTGTTAGTTACTGCAGTCTGCGGAGTATGTAGGGCTGGAGGAGAGTTTCCATAGCTTTGCAGCAAAGCAGCGGGAGTGGAAGCCTCTCTCGTGCGTGGCCGGCTGAGAAAGGCTGAGTGAGTCCTACTGATGCAGTGTAATTTTGATATCGTGCCGAAATAAGGCAGTAGCATGCAAGTGGAAAGGGATCGTGAGAGAATGTGTTGGTGAAAGCGCTCTGCGCTGATGGTCTCAATTCTGCTCATGGCAGGTATGCTATACAGAGAAGTAGACCAGATCCCAAGATCTTCGAATCGATAGTAAAAGCTCCAACTTTCAAGGTTGTTGCGAACCGTTCATGCATTCCTTACTGTGTCATGGTATCATTAAATTCAGGTTCCCGTCTGGCCCCTTTCAGATGGCCCCCCAACTCCTCGCTATACGCATGCAGAAAAATCCGAATAGTCGTCTCAAACAAGGCTTCATATCGTCTAAGATAACCTGAATTCTGTGCCAACGCTCGTTTGTGTGATTCGGGTCCAGGATGACTGTGCTTGAGAGAAGAGCCTCATGGCAGCAGCTCGACTCCGGCCGAGCTTGAGTGCGTCTTGACAGTCGTAGAATGATACAGTCGTGCCGTCTTCCCAGAGTGCCTCAACCACGATTCGGCGTACCATGACGTCCGCCCATCTGACGTGGTCTGTTCTCGAAGCTGCGGCTGGAGATTCTGTTGGATCTTCGATGGCGTGGAGCGTCTTCAATGCTTCTTCGATTGTGACTTGCTTCCAGTTTCCTTGCGGTGAGAGGGGCCAGTTCTCAAGTAACTCTCGTAGCATCCGAACGATCTTGTAGTATTCGTACTTCCATTCTGTCGAAGCACAGTCGGGGATGGGCAGAGAGACCAGAGCAATCAATCTCTGTTTCCGAGACAATGTTCGTGGTGCAAGTGGAAAGTCCATGTGTGGCATAGCAGGAGCGGTTGCAGGTAGTGTTCTGAGCATTGCCATTGTGGTTGTGCGTTGATGTGGTGTGATTGACAGTCGCGTTGGTAGGTAATGGAGTTGATTGTCGATAGCAGAAAGGATCGATAGCAGATTATGTAGGCAACGCGTGTGCGGCCTAGACTCCTTCGACAAGACTTGCTCTCCGTGTCTGGCGCTCGATGCCGGATCAACAGTAGCCAAAAGCTTCATGCTGTCTCACACTCAGCTACCCGCTCCGCGCGCGCTGGAGGTCAGGGTAGAGTGGGCACCGAAAACCCGTGTTGAGAGGTCCCTGACAGAGCACTTGGCGCGCTGTGATGATCGGTGGCGCGGCCCAACGGTCCATTGAAGAGCGCTGCTTACCGTCTGGCATGGAGAGAGTTCACGCCATCTGCGTCCACATGTCCACGGTCCACGGGGGGAGAAGAGTGGTCTTGTGGCGCATGACGAGACGCGGCAGCACGCGACGCCTCGTGCTGTGTTCCGACGAGGACTGGACCGGGGTGGCCGCGTATTGTAAATGGCTGCGGGCTGGCTTGGCTTGGCTTGGCTGGTTGGCTGCAACACTTCTTCTGATCGCGAGATCAAAGCGCATGATGTCGATTGAGGGCGTGAGGGGGACTTCTGGAGCTTCAGGCGTGTCGAAAAGCCAAGCCAGCGGGAACGAGTCGAGGCAAACACTGGAGGCAACGCTTCTGACAGCATGCTCAGTACCGGTAGCGGTAGGCAGCACAAGCGAAGTGTGTCGACTGTCTGTCACAGTGTGCCCGTCCCGCTTCTGATTCTCCCTTCTCCCTGCAGCTGTGTAGCCACCTGTAACAGGAGATGGCAGCGGAGGCCTTGGCGCGCAGAGACATACGTCGGCCGAGCGACGCGGCTCTGCACGTACTGTACATACAATTACAGTGCCGTACTCACTCACACGTGACACGCGGGCGAACAGCGTGCGTGCTGCGTGCTGCGTGCTGCGTGCAAACTCGTCAGCGCTGGAGTCAGAGTCATGCTTGGCCAAGGAATTGAACTGACGGGTCGGGTCGGGTCGGCTGCTCTCGCTCCGCTGTCTCCGTATGGACTTGGCGCACGGCGTGGCAGCGACCGACAGCCCGATTTTCGCCTCAGGCCCATGGGGTCATGCGGTGCGCTCTAGAGTCTAGCCTCTGCTGTGGCGTCACCCTTGCCTGAGGCTTCTGGTCCGCATCGTTGCCCAGCCTTCTCGCCTTGCTTGGGGTGTCTGTATTCTGGCACCGCCAAGGCCGCACGTGCCTTCGGAAGTACGCGGTTCCTAATAATTATAACGAAACGCACCCATTTTCAGCTCTTCTTTAGGAATAGCGTAGCACCGCTAGCACCGCTAGTACCGCTAGCACCTGTTATCGCTGCCGCTAGTACTAGTTTAAAATAAAGCTAAAGTGTTAGTAAGGCATTAATAGTATAGCAAAATATAGGTATTATTAACGCACTCTTGCTTGTCTATCTATCTGCCTTGCTATCGCTATTGCTATCTATTTGCCTTACTATCGCTATTACTATCGCTATTATCGCACTCGCTCTACCTACTCTTCTAATGCCTTATTAGTTAGCGCCTATAGTAGCCGTCTATCGTAGTGCTCTTACGCGCCTGTCTATAGATTATAGTATAGATTAAAGCGGCGGTTCTACTATTATACGTCCGTATTAGGCAGTAGTCGAATTAGTATATTCTATAGAAAGTTCTCGGACTAGCTATCGCTTATAGTGTCGATAGTAGTATCGATAGTAGTAGTATATCGCAAACGGCTCGGTATAGAAGGTACGAAGGGCGTAGAAGGTAGTATTTGCGCTAGGTATCGTATTAGTAAGTAGTCTTTACTTTTTAACGCATACGGACTAATATATTCTATATTATTACCGCCGGCGGTTATCTAGAAGCTGTCTAATACGCGCGCAGTGCGCTAAGTCGCAATAAAGGGTTATAATAAGAATAGTAGCAGCGGCGCCTACGTAGTACGCTAAGTCGTAATAAAGGGTTGTAATAAGAGTAGTAGTAGCGCCTATATACTAAGCCTAGTCTTACTTATATAAGTAGCTTCTACTAGGTTAGCTATTAAGCTAAGAACCTACTCGTCGATATCGTCCTCGTCTACTATATCGTTATTAAAGAAGTTGTCGCATATCTAGTTAATTTGCGCCTATAGGTTATTATTATCGGCTAAGTTTATATTCTCGAGCTACTATTTAATCGACAACTACTAAACAGCCTTACTAACGACCTTCGAATAGTGCTTATAGAGGTACTAAATATAGTTATTATAGTCTTTCTTCGATAGGTCGTTTATTAGCTACGCGGCTCTTACTAAGCTATAGAAGTCTTCCTTAAAGTTGTTAATAATGTTATAAAGAAGAATATAGTAGTTGCGCTCTAATACGCCTTTGCTAGCTCCTTCTACGGTGTCCTATATAGCAAGGTCGTTAATAGGCATACGATTGCCGTTAAACTAGTCCTTATAGACTATTAAAGCGTTGTTTGCCTCTTATCTACTATCTATTAACTTCTAGCGGTCTATATACTTATTAACCTGCTTCCGAGATAGCTAATTGTTCTTAAACTCGCTATTAAACAGTATATAGTTGCACGGCTAGTACTAGCTAAGGAAGAAGAGGCAGGGACACTTAGAAGGAGTCTCTTCGTCGACTAAAGGTTCAAACCGAGACTAGGTAAGAGCACCTCGTTTAAAGCGAGAGCGTACTATATTATACTACGTAGATATCTTCTTTTAAAGGAAGAAAGGCAGTTCTTAAAACCTCGGATAACTAAGATTGCGGAAGAGTAGCAATTATAGCATAGAAGCTTTACTATTATCGGCCTTATTAAGCTAATAATTATCTATATTAAGAGAGTATATAAGGGCGCCTGCTAGTAACTAGTTATAGATAGTCGACTTATTGCCGCGCTTATAGTAGGCGTAGTAGCCCTCGATATAGCTAGTTATACGATCCTTCGGGGAAGTTAGCTCTACCTAATATATACTAAATAGGAAGAAACAGCTATATTTACCTATAAAAGGCGTAGATTGCCCCGGCGTGCGTAAGTACACTAGAGCTCGGCGTACTAAATAGTCTATTCTCGTTAGAAATAGGGGAATAAGGTGTCCTACCTTCTGCCTAGTAATAAGTCTTCTACTAACTATATAAATTAACTAGCCTCCTTACGGTCTTCTATAAAATTATTAAAATATAGAGCGCTAAATAGGGCATCTTGCGTCTTCTTATAGCTACGTTTAATGCTAAACTTCTTCCTTATTGTCTCGACAACATAGCGCTAGCAAAGGAAGATAGTAATAGTGCTATTATACGCTATCTAGAAAGCGGCCTATTCGCTTATAGAGTCGTTAATAATAGACTATCGGAGGTACTAACTACTAGGCTTCTTGTAATCGGCCTACGAAGACAAGTGCTAGAAGCTAGTCGCTAGAACGATAGTATACTAACTCTTAAGTAGCATATAGGCAATAGGAAGGTAGTTATTGCCCTTATTCCGGATAAACAGGTTAGATAAGAAGAAGCTAGCATTGTTAGTATCGTATATAGCGTCTTGCGATAAGAACTCGCTATATCTCTTTAGTAGTGTAATGCCCTCCTCGGTCGTATAGATAATACTATATTTAAGCCCTTTAGAGGTCTATATTTAGAAGACCTAGTAACGACAACTACGCTTAATAGCACGCTCTTCTGCCTCTCGAATTTAGTATAGAATACTACTCTTGCTAGGCATAACGTACCGCTTGTTACGATAATAATATAGCGACTAGCGACCGAGATTATATAGCGTTTAATAGCTAGTAGACTTGCCGCCGATATTAGCGTAGTTATTCGCAAGGAAGTCCTTTACTCGACTCGCTCGTAGCGACTAATCTAGCAACTTCTAGCCTATCTCTTTAAGATAGTCGTTCGACCGCTATATATCGCATTATTAGAGAATATAGGTATACTAGTAGCGATAATCGGTACGCTTAATAACTATATTAATAGGAGAGCCTTCCTCGCTGTCTTAATATATATCTACTACTAGGCTAACCTTATAATAGTCGTTAGTAGTAAACTCGGGTTTATAATAGCCTCTACTACCTTCTATAGCCTTTTTCTTCTTATCCGCCGCTGTCTGTTTCGACTTAATATTATTATAGTAGCTGCCTAGAAAGCACCGACAAGTCCTATAAGCTAGCCGCTATACTATAAAGTAATGTCGGATTTGAGTTGCCTTAGTAGTAGGGGCCCCTAGCGAAGCAAGTCGCCTAGTTAGCCTAGGTCGCCTAGTACGCCTAGTACGCCTAGTACGCCTAGTACGCCTAGTACGCCTAGTACGCCTAGTACGCCTAGTACGCCTAGTACGCCTAGGTCGCCTACTTAGCCGTATAACGTAATATCTTAGGGACTCCCGCGGAGGCCGTATATAGTAGAACAATACGTTATATATTAATATACGAACGACGGGACTGTACTAAACTACGCGTACGTATATACGGACGACAGTAAGCGAGATATATAGAGTCGTAGGATAGATCCGAGTAATAGGAAGGAACCGGAAGGTAGGGAAGAGCTAGGAGAAACATATTTGCTTAAGAGCGGTTAAACGAGTTCGTATACGCGCGCTGCGCTAGTTAGCTAGGAGACAAAGGCGCTGCGAGACAGCAGACAAGTAGGATATACGTGCTTACGCTTACGCGTCGGACGCGCTAGACGGCTATAGGGCGGAATACTAAGGAAGAGGCTCTCCCTCTAAGGCACCCTTCTTCCTTTCTTCGCAGTTCGTCTTATATAGATAGCAGCTATATTAATTTAGTGCTCCCTTTAGTTTAGTTCAAAGTTTCGTATATACTCTTACTACTTAGCTACTAACCCTTATATTACGAACTGCCTTAAAAAACGCCTCTATTAAGATAGATACGCCCGACGAATAGATTTAAAATATAAGACTTAACGAAGTACCCGATTTTTCAAGCTTAGTATAGAATGAAATCCCCGCTACGCGCGAATAGCTAGATTACGCCTACGCTACCGACCCGGAACTGCTCGTTAACCTGCTTAAGG